TTGGATTACTTTGTAGAATTAAGACATTTCGAATGTGTTTCTCACAAAATAATTTCAATGCACCTGAGATGATACTTGATAAAGGATGTGAAAAATAAGGCAGAAAAGTATTAGGTGTTCTTTCAACATAAGCCTTGATAAAACAGATCTCCACCGATCCCAAAATACTCAGTACTGTTACTGATTTCAGTAGTGTGACTTCCAAAAATAGGCTTTGTTACACAGACCTTCTTGCTTGTCTCTAGCCTAAGAATGGTTACTCTGATTTTTTGGATTTTTTTTTTTGCCTGTTAAGAAGTTTAAGTGAGAGGAGAGTTTTTGTAAGTGCTGTTGCCGTGCCCTGAGTTTCTTGCATACTATTTTTTTTTATTCTGTCCATGTCAACAGCTGTACTGGGCCATGTGTCAGGTGTCATGCTGTGAAATCTATGCCTGTTTTTTTCCATTGTGCAAACTGAAGTCTTCATAAAAAAAAAAAAAAAAAAAGAAAAAAGATATTGTTAAAAGATGTATTCCTGTTTTATTTGATATGGGCGTCCTCGACTGCTTTTCTAGATCACTCTGAAGAGTAGAAGATGGGATCACTTCTTATGACAACTGCTGTTAATATTCCCTGCATCTCCAAAATGACATAGACAAATTGCTAATAATAACCTCATATATCTGATTTTATGCCATTCCTACCTCCAAATATGCATTCTGAATTGTGAATTGTTTTGTCTTCAGCAATTTTTAGCACAGAGAAAGTAGCAATACTTAACTCTTTAAGGAGTGTCCTCACCGTAGTCCAGTGTTGAATGTACTGCTGTCTATGCAGGAAATTACTAAACACTATGATACTGTTTTCATTTAAACCTCTTTAGTGTTTGTTTGTCCTATAGGGCAGTGAGGATTTCAAACTCTGATATGTATTTCTGCAGCTTTATTATTACCATTGCCTACCTTTTCTGTAGGAGAAAAAAAAAAAAAAAAAAAGTGAAACTTCAAAGTCACTGTTACCAAAGTCTTATTTAAATATCTGTATTGATTGACTGGGCTGCTCAGCTGCTGTTTATGAGACTACAGGAGGCTCAAAAGTGAGTCCTGTAATTTATCTTAGGAAAACAAACAAACAAACAAAAAAAAAAAACAAAAAAAAAACACCTAAAACATCCATTTAAAACAATATTTAAACTCTATTTGATCCCAGGCATTTGGGGTGACCAGTATGCTCTACACACGTTTTATGAATCTTGGACAAAGTTATTATGAATATGTTGTATTTTTAATGTGGAACAGACCATTTGCTGACTGGGCCTATGCCACATGCTTGTCAGAGTGAAGAGTAATTAACTTTAATGACTATACCAGATAACGTGGAAAGTTCTCAAACAGGAAGAAGGAACAGAAATTAAAAAAGACTGGCAGTTTCAAAAGGGCTCACAGAGAGAACGAAGAGGAAGATTTACAAGGTCTTTCAAAAGTTTTGAATAGGAAAGGCACTTTTTTGAAGCAGTAGCAAAGGGACGTGATTCAACTGTGAGACCCTACAATGTAAAGAAAGCCACCTTGATTTTGAGGAGGAGCAGTAGGATACAAAAAGAAGCCTATAGAAATGCTAGAGTATGTCTGATGTACTGCCAAGTAGTACTGCAAAGTGCTATGGAAACCAGGGACTGGAAAATATGGTCGAGGCTTATTATTCTGTGCACAATTGTATATTTCTTTTCTGAACCTAGTGCAGAGTCACTTGTTTTGGAGTTCAGTACAAAGTCTGTGTGGTCATGACCTCTGCCTCGCACAGCCGCACAGCCACTTGGCACAGCCTGATCCTAACAGGCTGTAAGCACCTAGCAGGAGCACCTCACTTGGAGCCCGGCTAACCTAGGCTCTCTCGGGAGGCAGAGGAGCAAAATAGGCACTCTGAAGTGGAAAGTCACATCTTGGGGAGACTGAATTGCTCTCTGGAGGCTGCCTGCTGGGTGTGATCTGTGCAGGCCTTTGACTTCTAAAGGCCGAAGTACCTCCAAAGCTGAAGCTGTAGAAAAGGATTCATGATGATAGCTGGCAACTGTGGCTATAACTGTACAAGTAAACGGTGTGAGGTCTGTTCCCAGGGACTGGGGCTCTACCATCTCTGTCACTGTTTAGCAGGAACAGCGCCTTGCCCAGTCTGACCTTCCCAAGCCCCCATTGTGCAGTGTACAAGTACTGACTTGGTTTTGAGGGTAAGGGAGTTTTCTGGAACAAACACTGGTTCTTCCAAGCAGGTTAACCTCGGTGCCAAGAACTGGTTTCAGAAGAGTTTAATTTATCAGTATTGAAATGTACTTAATCTATGAAACACTTGGAAATCAGCTCAGGCTTATTTGCATTATGGGCTTGCACAACCTACAGTTACTCCCTGTCCAGGTCACTGCTAGTACCAAGCTGCAAAACCCACATGTGTTTTGCTTCAGTTTGCCCAGCTGTTCTTCCTGTAGGAAGGAACCCTTCCCAGACACTGGCATTTTGCTTGTCATGCCCTAGAAATTGGGTACCACAGCCCAGCCACTTCATGGTTTTGGCAAGTAGCACTGTGGGGTCTGAAGATATGTGGAAGTTTGTGCAGATAACAAGAGGAAACTGTTAGCAGCACTTGGAGGAGTGTAGTGACTGAATTCACTGTGATATTAGAATGGTCTGTTCATCTGAGTTAATTATTAAGTAATAAGCACATTATTTAATTTTTTATTATTATTTTTATTATTTTTCTTTTGCTGGATATTTCAGAGTGGAACTAGTTTTAATTCATTAATTTATTTTCCCCATTGTTCTTTTATTACCATCCCATTTTCTAATAACTGTTTTGAGCCAATTTTTTAGCTCCATTGCACAACTGAATTCATCATCTACACTGAAGATATACTAATTTACATTAGTTGCAAATATGGTGATTTTTTCAGTCTTAATAAGTTTCTTTTTATTTTTCTGCCCCCCACCCCTCTATATTTACTGTATGACATTTGCTGTTTTCGCTGACCTCTTTTAAGTGCAAACAATCTATCACTGTAGGAATTGTAGTGCTATGTGATTTAATGTTGCTGTTAACTCTGCAGACCAGAGTTGAAATTCTTTGTGTTACTTTCATAGATTGTATCATGCTGAGTGTCTTTAATCAGATTGCAAGCTGCTATCATGTTGCTGTGTCTAAACATTAATTAGGCCTTCAGAGGCATAAGTAATTTTAATAAGTTTAGGTAAATTTTAATAACTTGGTAAGGAAAGTGATCTTTTATGGATCAGATAACTGAAACAGCATGGGCTATTTTCCAAAGCAGAAGCCTGTGCAGTTAAAGAGGTTTGATTGCTCTTTGGTAAAGGTTTGTGTTACGGGAAGGAAGGGCACACAAAAAAAAGAGAAACTGTGATAGAGCAGTCAGAAAGTGATGGCCCCAGCCACAAAAATGCCATTAGTCTGACAATGTTAAAAATAATAAAATAAAAGATAACATTTGGGCAGAATGCTACCGGCAAAGGGTTTTGAATTTGTGAGCAAAGCCTCCCCTGCTGCTTGATTCCTTTTGCATTCAAAGACATTTTGAGAGATATTTTTTTCATCTTTATAAACTAACAAAGTAATATTGGACCCACCTTCTTCTTCTACAGAAAACAAATCATACATTCCCAATTCTAGTTAGCAAGTGGTTAAAATAATCTTAGTGCTGTTCTCACAGTTGCTATCCAGATTCTGAAACTTTCCATTCTACTTCCTCCTGAGCCAATCTGACAAGAATTGGTGATTCTGTGCTTTCCCAAGAGCACAGACCACATCCTCTCATGGTTGTTATCATAAGGTGTACTGCTTTCCTGATGATTTCCTGGTGGTTCTATACAGAAGATGCTGGTAAGGATGGGGAAAGTGAGGAAATACACATTTTTCCGATGTTTTCAAAGATAGAAGATAGCACTGCAAACTGATGCTAGTACACTCACCCAATTTCTCTTACTGCTCCCTTCAGGAATAACAGCTTCCTAAGATGCTTGTTCATTTTCTCAAAGGAAAAACAGCATAAAAGTGCTTATGCTGCCCATGGCAGGAGGTTTGAACTAGATGATCTTTAAGATGATCTTCCAACCCAAACTATTCTGTGATTCTGAGTTTCTGTGTTCTTCAGTTTTTACTCATTGTTTCATGTGCATTTATTAACATAAAATTCCAAAACTAATAAGGCAGTAGGATTTATTTTATTTTATTTTATTTTATTTTTAGTGAGAGCTTCAGAATGTTAATCTACAGATTATGTAAGCATCGGGAGTTATTTTAGTATAGTATAATGCTGTCGTATTATAATGTCACAGCATGATGCATTTGAAACTATCAGCCTTTTAAAATGTTGGCTTTTGACAACATATTCGTGCCAACTTTGTCTCTGTTGCTGTGACCTTTAACAAGGATTTTCTGTAGATTAATTTAAAGGAAGATACAGCAAGCTGAGCAGCAGAGCTGATGCAGCCTGGTTTCCTATGGTAGGTGTCCAATGTCCCACAGAGCCTCACAAACCAGAAGTGTCCCCCATGAGTCCTTCTGACCTCCCCAGTGCCCCAGTGCTCTTTTGGGCAGGACACAGCCAGTTCTGTGGTGGCTCTGAGGTCTGCTGCACGTTGGCTGCCCATACAGGACACATGCACTGACTGTCCCCAGGGCCCTGTGGCTGTTGAGCTCTCGTGGCAATTGATTCTCACACTGAGGTAACTGCTGTGGTCTCCTCATTGCAACCCATGTGCATATTTGTTTGACTTTGGAAGAGCTTTTATCTTTAAGAACCTTGCCCTTCTGTCAGATGTGGTTAAAATTGACCAACAGACTCAGGATTTGTTGTAGGGGTAAATCTAACGGCTGCGCCAACAGACGGTGTGATTGTGTAAGTCCCATTTCCTTGAGAACAAAGGCAAATATATAGCTAGCATCAGGTGTGGTTTTTTTTTTTTTCAGGAATAATAATGTGACCTCCATTTTATATTCTAGCACATCAGTCAGTGTGAGGCTGGACGTGGCAGCCAGGGAGACCTTGAGGAATGCAGTGCTGAGCACAGCTGGCCATCGTTGCCCTGATCAGCCCCACAGGATCCTAGATCTTCAGCCCGATCCCCTTGTGTGCTCAGCCTTGCCTGAACTACACCTCACCTGTACCCAGCCCTAGCCACCACAACTGCCCTGGAGCTCCATGGGACCATTTGGAACCTTCCATTAGGAAGATATATATGCTGGATATCCCAAATATCCTGGTTTTTGGATTCACTTTATTTTCACTGTATGGCATTTCCAAATGTACTGTAAGATTAGCAGCATTTGGTGAAGCTTCTAAATTACACAGTTACACGACTATGGAAGAATCATTATCATTTTCCAGACTTGCCTTATGGATCTTGGATGCTTGAATTTGGCTTTATGCATGACAGAAAACCTCAATTTCATAGTATATGGAGCCAGTCTACATGCCCCATTGAAACATTTCCAAGTCTAATCAACCTTGTCTGCATAGTATTATGCAGCTACCTATTCAAAATTACTTGCAGCCACTTATTCATAATTATCAGTTTATCTTGGAGTGATGTTTTTGTTAAGTCAGAGTGGATTTCCAGTGTGTAACTTTATATTTTTCAGAAAAGCTGTCATATATGTAGTAATTTTGATGTTAAAATCCACCTTTTATTTCTTTTTCCTGGTTTATCGTTAGGGCCAGAAAGAAGATACAGCCGTAACTCTTTGCTTCAACCAGTGCCATTCAGGACCAAATGCAGGCAGCAACAGTACTTCACAGTCTTGTACCGGGAGCAAGAAGTCAGAATCTCACGAAATATTTTTAAGGAAGCAAAATTTTGAGGTAATTAACTTTTAAATTTCTGCTCTCATATCTGGACAGCACAGAAGGGAGAACTGATAGCTCAGAGAAACTGTCTGCTTGAATATACATCCCTGCCAATCAGTAGGAGCTTGCATCACATCTTTTTAGAAAAGAGAAGGCACTGGTATCTTCACAGAGAGCCATCACCTGCTGTGAACTGCTGGCTTTGCCAGGAATGGGATTTTAGAAATGGGAACCGGATTGTATATTTAGCTGTTCGGTCAGTTTGTTCAAAGTCCAAAAATGTTAAATACAGATGAAAACTCGCTATGATTCATGGTGTGTGGCCAGCATTGGTTCCTTATGTTCTAACAGTGAACTGCAGTGTTGGACATTAGATCCATATTTACAGGAGAAGAACAAAGCAGCTGGACAATGATGCTGTTGTGCAGTTTCCACTGAATACTGCTGTCCTTATTTGAGTATTTTGTGGACTGGAAGAGTGGTGTGAGTGCTTGTATATTTTTTTGCTTGCTTTTTTGATTGCTTATGTTATTACCTTGCACTATTTCCTTCTGCTTTCACAGTGGTCCATTTCTCTTTGCAATTTATTTTGTTTCATGGTACATCTCGTTTTGGAAAGCAGTTGGCCTTGCTTTTGTGATATGTTGTCCCAGCGTATTGCTTCAGCAGTTGAAAAGAAGTGTGAATTTTAAAACCTCATGACTGCAAGCAGGTTTTAAGCACATAAACCAAAATCTGTGGGCTGTGCTCACTGGCTTACTATGCAACAACTATGCAGGAAAGAAACAGATATGAGCCCAGGACCCAAATGAATTATAGACAAACACAGTGGTGAAAACACTCCATCGTGTTGAATATTGATGTCTTCTCACTGTTGATAACAGTCTGCAGAGAGCAATCCTAATTGAGTGCTCATTTGTATGTTGGTTCAGATAGGAAAATTTAGGATCTAGATTGCCCCTCTTTAACAACCTAGCATATTTGCTTTTCATGAAGATTGTATCTGGTCATGGGGTTCTTAGATGATAACTCATCTCAGTCTATGAAGGATCGTTTTTCTGGGACAATTTTTCTACAAAGGCTTGAGAGACTGCGCTTCTACACCATGTATACAACTTCTGCATCTGGTTAATTGGATGTGTATTTCAGGATCGCTCCAGGCCCATCATCCTGGGTATTGGATAAGCCCACTGAAATACAGTAATTTTTCCAAAGGAGATACATGTTAGACCCCAGTGCTGATGTTAATTAACACATATGACTGCTACACACAAACTAATCTGGCACACATCACCAAGACACCTGAATTTGGGATCTATGCTCTCTCTGTGGTCATTGGAGAGAGGCAGTTCATTGATGAGCTGAAATCACATTCTTGCGGGGCCTGGCTCTTGGTGAACAGGGGACAATTAGGCACCGATGCTTAAGAGGCTCGATTAAATGTTTGGAGTCAGATGGAGTTAAAATTTCCACCAGTGAGAGATACAGTAAAATGGGAGGGAGAAAGGTGAAGGTGCCACCTTGGATGAAAGGCTATTCCGCTTTCACTCAGCAGGCTGTGTATGCACAGTCATGCTAATGGCAACCAGGAATTTAACAGGAATTTCACGGGAAATGTATGCGAGAAGCAATAGAGGTAGGACAAATGGGGACAGGATTGTGTAAGAGGCCTCCTGGACTCATGGCCTAAACAAATGGATCACATGGCTGGAAAAGCCTCCTGCTTTAAGTACGTCATGCCTGTTTTGAATTACTGGAGCATCCAAAATGTTTGCAAATCCCTTGCCAGTGTCGTAACTCAAAATAGCACACTTGATAATTTCCAAAACTGTAGGTACACGGTATATTTTTGGTTATAATTTTGGTATAATTTTTCTACCCAAATTTGAAATGCTGTTATTTTCAATAAACTCTTGAGAACTAATGAGTGATATATAAGAGCAAAACAACTAATTCATAAATTTGGAAGTTACCTTCTGCTGCTCAGGTTTATTAAGCTCAGGCTCTTTGGGTCTTTCACTCAACCAGCCTTTACCAATAATGTAGGTTATCTCATTATTTTTTTTGTTCCATAATTTGAAACTATGAATAATGTTCCTCAGGCCTCATTTCTGAGCAACGTCGTTTGTTCAGCTGACTGGGGACTACACTGACATTCTGTTGGACATTCAAGTTACAGTGAAATAAAGTAGTTTTAATATCTACCTTAACATTTTATCTCTTGAACTCCTAAATCCAGATTGCAAGTTGTCAAGGTGTGGTGAATTGTTTCTATCATGTATTTACACTTGTGGTGAATTTCTGTGGGTACAGCCAGGATAAGGCTTCCCTCTAGAATGCCATGTTGTGTTAGATAGGCTAATAATATTTCCCCTGTTGAGGAATGAGCACAAGCCCTACATAGCACTTATGTTTTTAGACGCACAAAATTATGTTTCTTTGTAGTTTAAGGGAAATATAGCATTTGTGAAGTGTGGTAGATTTGGTTCCTAAATCCTTGAGTACCATTTATGAATCAACATATATGCAAAGAAAAGCAGGCTGGTGCCAGCAGTGGCTGCTAGAAATCAGCATATTCTGTAAAAGTTCCAGAAAACTTGGCTTTTCTATACTTTTGAAGCTAATCTGAGATTACTATGGGGTTAAGAAATAATGCAATTTCTGATATATTGTCTTTTGAGCAAGCCCTACCAGGCTTGAAACTACCCTGATGAAGCCTGTCTGTGCACAGTGAAGTCTGTCTGTTATAGATAGCCTCATATCTGAGGAGGCCAGCCAGTGCTCCCTGATCCCAGCCCCTCTCCTATTTACGTAGCAGAGTACCTGTTGACTGAGCCTTATCATCAGTCTTGTCCTTAACTGGTTTATGGCTGGCTCCTGAGCAGATCACCAGCCCCAGTCACTTTGTTGATATCCTTTCCAGATTCCTACAGTCATGTCATGAGGATAAAAAAAATATTTAAATGATTCCAGTTCTACCACTTTGGTTTATAGCTAAGAGAAAATGTCTGGTATTTTTAGCATGTCCTATATTTTCACTATGAAGCCATTTACCCCATCTGAGAGGCTGTCTGTTATCAGGATCCTATTGGCTGCAGATATTTGGGGCTCTTTTCCACAGTTAACAAGAATTCTGTATTTGGGATACTTTTAGTGACTCATTTCTGGTTACAAGACAGTTAAATTCATATCTCAGCAGGTACCTCCATGAATATGCACTTAGAATACCTGATTTCATGGTCACCTTGGAAGACTTTTTAATAACTTTCTCCTGTATCATCTGTGAAATATCCAGCTCAAGTTCTGGCAACATCCGTAGACCAATTTACCAAAGACCTATTTATTCTTTAAAGCCTTCCTTGCAGCAAGAAAATTTTGTTTTAATATCTGTTTGGCCATTATGATAAAGGACAACCCAAACCACTGCTGTTCTGCATCTGGGAGAGTGAGAAGGGCCCATAGATAGAGCGCCACGTGGTGCCCACATGTGGGGAAGGTGCGGTGCCAATCCATCCCCTAACCGTGCACTGTGTATAGGACACGGCATGACTGTAAGTATCACAAAGTGTAGTCTTCTTTGTAAGTGGCCCAAGCAAGATACTGTCACAAGGCCCATTCCCTGAATACTTTTCTCTCTTTATGTACAATAAAAACAAAAGGTGAAATTGCTGAGAGTCCTTTGCTCTAAGACTTGTTAATTTAGGCTTCCAGGCATCTCTGAGTTAGGAAATGAGTCAAGTGGTTATTATTTACTCATCTGCTCTGCAGTTTCTGCTGTCTTAATCATTTTGGTTGTTGCTGGGGGTGTTACCTTCTTCAAAACAGAGACTTGAAAGCTGAGGAACTAATGGCAGTCTTCACTACCCTGATTACAAAACGCCGGTTCTTATCAGGCTGGCTGCCATATTCATGCCTTGGATCATGCACTTCCCTGCAGAGGTTAGAGGGGATCCCCCATGTGTTTAGTCTGTAAGGAGAGTTAACAGAGATGCAGTTTGTAATTCAGGGATTTCTGGTGGTGAGGCCATAGCCCAAGGGCTCTGAGTGCTCCCATTTGTGGATCCTGAGCCCCACGAGCTTCTGTGCTCATGGAACTAAGGAGCAGTCAGGGCTGGTCCACAGAAGTGCTGCAGAACTGCCATCACATCTCCCAAGGCTTAGGCAGCCCTGCTGTAATACATCATACCCCATGGTTTGTCTCTTCCTAAAGAAAAATGAAAAAAATCCTCTTTTCTTGTTCTTTAATTGCCTCTGCTTTTGACAAGTAACTTCTCCCAGTGCATGAGCTCCCTTGCAGCTTGGTCCATCTGGAAAAAAAAAAAAAAAAAAAAAAAAAGGACAGAGAGTGTCACAATGGCAGCTTGTGAAATGTTTTCTGTACCTGAGTCTGCCTGTGGCAGTCACCCACCGCTGTGCTGTCTGAATGCCTTACACCACCACTGCCACACGCTCTGGCTGCTTGTGCTTGCCGGGACGTAGATGCAGAGGCTGTGGTGCATTTCGGGGCTGTCCGAAGTTTGAAGTGACTTGTTTGTATCATCTTCCTTAAAGCAGCAGCCTAATCGCTCAGTGTCTCAGTGTTTACATCTGTTATCAGAGCAGCATAGTAGAGGTACAGGCTTTTCTATGGAGATTCCACACTCACCCAGAGCTGATAGTGCTGTAATTTTTCCTTTGATAACTGATAGTGCTATTGGTGCCTTCTTTGTTTGTTGTCTCTATCACTGTCACATAAATGTACTAGATATCACTTATCACTGGACTCCTGACCTTCCTATTTGTGCTTTTCTTCCAGGTAATCACTTAATCACTGCACTTTCTCGCTGCACATCCCTTTATGACTTTTTTTTTTTTTTTTTTTATAGCAGCAGCTAGTTCCAGACAGGCTGGGAGGAAGGCAGAAATGTAGGTTCGTCAGCCAGCCAAAGAGTTTCTCCTTATTGCAAGAAGTACACAGACTGTAACCCGAGTATCACACCATCATTAAGTCCTATCCACTTACCTACTTCATTAGTTCAAGGATTGTGGCGCTTTTAATCTTTGTGATCTGGGTCACCGCAGGATTCAGGCTAATGTCTGAATCAACATGGTGCTCCAGCTTCCTACTTCCAGCACTGTGTGCTTTGCAGCCTGTCTGTCCTCACTCAAGCTGAGTAAACACAAAGGAAGGCAGATTTTGAAGCCTGCCTTTTTTCCTCCTATAGTCATGTCAGCTAGGGTCTTTCCTTGTTTTGTTGTTAGCTTGTTTATATGACCAACACCCAGTAATCGGGGATTAAAACCCCACGGTACTGTACCCAGTGCTGGTCAGCCCTTTGCTTTTCCAGCTTGTGGAGGGGGAAAAGTTAGTTTGCTGGGCTGGGATTATTCCCTGAGCAATGTTTTGAAGCAGCCCAGTACCTGCGGCACAGCCAGCAGATAAATAATCCTCAAGTTTACCAGCCCAAAGTGTTGCACCTTGGCCAGTGAGACTGCAGTGAGGAAACCAGACAGCTCTTTGTACTCATTTTAGGGGGTAAACCTGAGCCCTCAGACCCCTCTTCAAACCACCGGGGCCAGCCATGGCATGATGTGATGTCTGCAGAGGTGGCCTTTGCTTCAGGTGGAGGAGCTCTTCCAGCAGTGATCTCCTGGGGTCAGGAGTGACCATGCTGCTCCAGAACAGCATCAGGGAAGACAGACGTACACATGTAGGTGCCTCATCCTGTTTTGTGGGGTGGCTGTAGATTTCAAATTCAAATTTCTGATAAATATAAATGGGCGAGAGCCTCGGAGAGAATTTGTGTGGGGGAAAATAAAGTCTGTGCTTGGGGAGACCTCTTTGCAATGGAAAATAGGCTGGTGAGGCAGTCTGATGGTAAGACCAAAATTATACCTCTCCCAAATTGTATTCATTCCCTATCTTCCTGTATGAAAATGCAGGAACAAGCAGGTAACAGTATTGCTTAACACCCACCTGTCCTGCTGGAATAACTGGGCCTGCATTGGCCACCTGCTGCAGCTGTTTTGTTAACCCATGAGATAAGGAAGAAGAGAAAGTGCGTGCTGGAAGGAAAACTGGAATTTAAATGACCAAACCAGTCACTGAGATCTATAAGTGTTGTGAGAGGACTAGGAGGACTCCAGTCTGCATCGAGACCTGTGCAGAGGTTCAGGAGCTGTGGAAGTAAGTGCACAGAGACGTACAGCACGGAAGGACAAAGAGGGCTGCGATAAAGAGAGGTCCAAAGGAAAATCGTGGGAGAAATGATAGGGGGAAATGTAAGCGTGTCCATGTAAAGTGACTTTGGTTGGCATTTATACCTGGTTGATACTGAGGTTTTACTACGTAGAACATGACTTTGCTGTTGATATAAACATTGCCACTAAAAACTGCACTCTGCATGTAGAGCTGCAATTTTTTTTTGTGCCAGTGCACCCTGCTTTGCTTTGTGTACCTGCACTAAACCATGCCAGTGTAACTGCTATGATGCCAGAAAGGCTTGCTGCTCTGCAAGCCTTTTTTAAAGTATTTAAAAGCATATTAAAGTATATGCTTTTAAAAAATATTTTTTCTCTTTTAGTTTTTGCACAGAAATACTTCCTTATTGCCATATAATCCTCTTGGAGCACTGCGTGCACTTAACAGCGTATGCTGGTTTGTTTCCCAAAGGCTTCTTTTCAATGTGCAGGGCTGCTGAAGCTTTGAAGAGAAATCTTGGATCACTTTTTTAATGAGGTGTGGAAAGCGAACTGTGGGAATAAGTGGACTTGGCTGGACTGTAGCTTGCCTAGGTCCCTCGGGAGCTTTGAATGTCCAAGGGATGCAAGAGTTTGATGTTAAGAATATCCCAGAAACATGAAGTTCCTGAAGGAAATACTAATCATCTTCACATGCGTCCTAAACCCTCACAGCTCCTGAGATTTCAAGCATTTATACTGTATCCATTACGTCAAAGGACATGTGCCTGAAAGGAGTAGTTGGATGGTTCGCAGTAAAGTCTGTAAATACTACAAGGCAGTAAAAATATGTTCTAAGACAATCAATAATGTTAACATTCATAGTATGTCTGAACTCCTGTAATTTCAGCAAAATGTTTGGGGAAGGATCCTGACCTCCCTCGCCTCTGGAGCAAGGCAGAAGCACTATTCAAAGTGCCAGGGAAAAGAATAACCAAGAAACGTCATGCCTCAGCCCTTGGGAAAGATAAGCTAGATCCAGAAAGTATGAGAGGCATTTCTGCACACGTCAGTGCAGAGAGGGGACATACTTTTCTCTGAAGTGCTTGAAATACTTCATCTGTTTAGGAGGAGTTACAGCAGCAGTAATCAATGAGGTATTAGCTAAGAACCTCATGAAGTAACGGGGAGGATTTTATATTGACCACAAAAAACCTTAGGGGCTCATACTTCTAAGTGCAACCTTCTCTCTTTGCTGAGAACGGCTTCGTTTTGTGGTCCAAAAAGTGTTAAAAGCACAGGGATTCCCTCTTTGCACACGTGAGAAGGCTCCTGCTTCCCTTAGCAGCCCTTGAGCGCTGCCCGGGCGGCGTGCCATGGCTTTGCACACCCAGTGTGTGCTGAGTGTGCAGCCAGATGCCTGCGAAACGCCAGTGACCACAGACTCACTTCACTGTATGCTACGGCATTCTTGGGGGAGAGGCTCCTAGCAGCTCCATTCGTAATGGAAGTGTAAGCATGCAAGCTTTATTACCTGCCACTGCCAGCTCACCAGGAAAGTATGCCATTCCTGCGCCGACGGATATCTAGCTGCTGCTGTTTAATTATCATGTGTCTGCTCTGCCAGAAGCACTGGCCCGCTCCGTCCTTTGGCTTTTCACTGCTGTACACAAAGCAGGAGCCTCTTGCTCATCTGAATTACTGCTGGATGTTATTACAGCCACTGCAGGAAGGGAAACGCAGAGCAGCAAAGGATTTGCCTCTCTGCTTGTGAGGGAAGTTTTGGAGGAACTAATTTTTCTGCATGTCTGTGACTTACAAAGTGTGTGCCTGAAACTTTTATAATGCTTGAGATTTCATATACCATAATGGTTTAAATGGAGGGGGCCTTCACTGCCTCTTCCCATGCTTGCAAATGAGTGCTGTCAGCTCAGAGGCAGGCCTGTGGTGTTGCCATTTAAGTGCTGTGCAGAAGAAGTAAGGTTATACAAATGCTGTTACAGGCAGAAGAGAAGAAGGGGAAAAAAAGAAAAAAAAAAAAAAAGAAAAAAAAAAAAAAAAAAAGAAAAAGAAAGCTGAGGGATTAAGAAGGGAAAAAGAGCACAAAACCCAGCCAAACCAAAGCCACAGGAAATGGATTCTGAATGTGGGCGCAGGAGCTAGACAGAAAGGGATTTGGCAGGAGAGAAATTGTTGCAAGGACCTCAGTGAGAAATATAAGGCCCAGTCCTATATAAGACATGCCCATGACGAATCTTTAGACCCCAAAATAAACCAATCTGCATGGCAATATGATAGCCTGCTAGGTCTAGGATCTGAGGAACCAGTGCGTGATAAAAGGGTTAGCAGTGCTGGAAAAAGGAAGGAAAGGTGGGAGCGGTACAGTGTGTGGGGAGGAGGGATGGCTTGCTGTCAGCTCCTTGGGCTGGCGCAGTCTCACCTACACAGACAGGCAGCGAATGCTGCTTCGCAAACGGGTGGGGAGTTTGTTTGCAAAACAGCAGCTCTGGTTCTGACAAAGAGGGGTACGCTACACATATGCTTACTTGACAGTTCTTCTGTTTCAGGCAGGATACTCCTCGTTACGCTGGATTCTGGATCCTTTCCCAGCCTCCTGTAGATTTTGGAAAGTCTCCCACTCAGCTGCCATGTGGAAGGCTTTGAACTTAAAATGGGAACAGGCACAGCACAACCGGGGTTGGGGGTGGCTGGCAGTCCTCCCCCCCTCTCGCCCTTCCCTCCCCAGTGCGACCACTGCGAATCCGTCCTAGAGCCCCAAGAGCTTGGGGAGAGGCTGTGGCGAAATGTGTTCCAGTACTATGGCAAAGTGTCCTGCTTCAACAGGTGACACCGGGATTTCTCTATAAACAAAACAAAACAAAACAAAAAAAAACACAAATGGCTTCCCCTTCAAGAAATGGACATGTTGGTGGAGAAAATGCCACCTGTGCATCAGCTCCCCTTTGATTATAAATGTGCCTTGAGTCAGGAGAAAAAAACACGCTGCAAACTACTCAGCTGATAAGCACAAGCAATTAATTTAATTGTGGCATACATCTGGTAAACCTCACTCCTATCAGTGTGAGTTGTGTACAGCTCAATCTGGCTCATAAAACAAACACAGCTTTGGGCAGCTACTCAGCAGAGCCCCGTCTTGCTTCATCCCACTCAGAAGCGTAGTCACGGCCCTTATATGTGACATACTTATTTGTAGATAGGTGTGATGTTTGCATATAGGGTCTGAACTGAAAAGATGAAGAGATACCCTGAGATACTGTCAGTATTGCCCTCGATACCCTTGATACACCTGGTGCTGTGTTTACCTGTCATAACACATTTCCGAAGATCTCCGTGTTGGCCTGAGGAGCTGCAGAGAGCTGCTGCTGTGCTGCAGCGCCACAACCCACTTTCCTCACTTCCTTCCTTGTGCTGTTGTGTAAAGCTGTGGTCACCAGCACAGAAGACAAACAGACTGGATATTTTTAATCCATCTTTTAAAAGGCTTCATCAGGCTTGTTCCTCGATGCAGCAGCATTGTGTTTAGTTACACCACCTCCACGCTCTCGATGGCCAGCACACCGTGCGAAGCGCTGCACCTCAGAGGAGGAGGTATGGCCAGGCCCATCCTACCCCTCCTGTTTTTTCCTGGGATGGAGATTAGAAAAGCAGTTTTCAGTAGTGATGGGAAGAGCATCATATTGGCATACATGGGGATTTCTTGCAGTTTCAGACGTGCCTGCACTGTAACAAAAGGCATCACACAGGAAACAGACGTCATGGGGCTGAGCTCTGCGTTGTTGGTGTGTTCATGGGTCTTGAAATATCCAAGATAAGAGCTTTGTTCCTTTGCAGAATGCACGGGGGAAAGAGAAACATCACAGTGTACAAATGAATCAATCTACACCCTCCAGAGGAGGTAATACTGGTGTAGTAAGAGATGCTAAAGCAGCTCAGGAGCAGAATATTGAACTCAAGAAAGCAATCAAATGCAGCAGGTTTTTCAGGGATTTTTTTTTTTTTCCCTCTGGGATCTCCGCTGCTGCATTTGTGTAGGTACACAGCATCCAGCAGGAGAAAAAATTCCTCGCTGAAGAGGTTTCCAAGAGAGAACAGCAGACAAGATAAGTGTGAGCAGTCACTGGCAGAAGTTTCAATGCAGCACTCCAGTCTGCTGGTATTTAACATTCAGTAGTAGGCATGGACCGAGTCCCGCTAATTGTAAGGACATCTCTCCATCGCACCACACTGGGAACTGTCTGAGTCAGCAGCATTGATGATGCTTCACACAAACACACTAACGTCTGCCAATACGCCACGAGGGAGGGGAGGACTTGCTGAAGTAGAGGATGCCTCGTGAATATTTTTGTGCTGTTACCCAAAGAGGAGGGATGAGCTGCTGCTGCCCGCTCCCCCGGTGCTCCTGCCCAGGAGGCAGGCGGCACGCTGCAGGCCAGCTGGCCTGGCCCCCTCGCCAAGCGGGACACCGCTCTGCTGGCCCACAGAAACACCGGTGGCTACGCTTCCTGACCAGAAACCCGTTTCACCCAGAAGGGCGATGCTCCCCCAGGAGCAGAGCACCATCCCCATTTCTCCATTTTCCCATTCAGGAGCACTTTGCCTCCTCCTCCCCTCCCCCGTGGGTGAGAATCGCTGCAGGCCTCCCCCGCGGCCTGGCCACAGGCGCCTCACAGCAGCAGCTCCCCATTGGGGCTTTGCCTTAAAAACAAGCCTCAGTCGCGTGAGGGGGTTGAACGGCTGCGTCGGGAAAACTGCGTAATGAAGGGCTTTCTGAAGCATGCATTATACCCGTTTCAAACTACAAAGCAATTGAAAGATCAGTGGTCAGGGATTTATGAAATGATTTATTGTCTCGGTGACCACAGAGATATTTCTTGCCAATGGAGTATTTTTTTTCTGTCACAGGGACAACAGTTGTTTTTATCCAGGGCCAAAACCCGAAGCCATTATTCATTTTATTACTTGGGCAAAATTCTCATTAAAGTCTTAAGGGATTGGCTCAAGACTCGATATTTCAAAGGAGACTGCATTTAGAAGAGAAAATAGAAGCAAAATCTCCGCAAACATCGGAGCATGTCTTTAAACTCCTTCTACAAACACATTAAGGCCACTGTGATGCAAAGAGGGAAAGTTAGTTCGGCTGCAATTCCCACTCTTCCTGCATGCCAGGAGATTGCGAGGTGGATTTCTCCTGAAGATAATGTTGTTTACCCTCTACCGAGGTAGCCTTAACACAAGCCCGCTCTGCTGCTTATCATCCTGGCGCCTGAGAAGGTCTTGGATAGCCTGCAACTAAAAACACGGGTGGTGATAGAGCCCTGCAGGTGTGCTGCCAGAGAACTGACGAGGTAGTCGCTGGGGCAGGCCGAGATGAAAATAAACAGCGTGAGGATTGCAGTCTGGCCCGAGGGTCTCCAGAGAGAGATTGAGGGAACGGTGCACAAACTGATCAGCAGGCATCGCTGCTGCCTGCTGGATGCGTGTGGTTTCTCCTCTAATGCAGTCGGAGAAGTATCTGTGTACAGGCGAGGTACCGGGCGATTCTGCAGGTATGTTTTACTACTTAATTGGATGCTTTTAAAATATGGAAGTGGTTTACCTGTAATACATTATGATTCCACCAGCCTTTGCCTAGATTTGACAATTCCTTAGGGCAGGAATTATCTTTCATTGCAGTGTGCATATGGATGACAATTAAAAATTTAGCAATGTATGTGAGAAGAACTGGAAATGACTTTAATTGCCTCAGTGTTTCTGAGAGCCTTGAAACTTGCTTCTGCAGACCCAGTCTAGAGTAGCTCTACGTTTGTACGTAGCGAGCTATCAGATTTCAGAGGTCAGTTTTCAGTGTTAGAGTTTCCTACTGTAAGTTAAACCACCTTCCATCCCCAAAACAAAATCTCCCTCTTCATCCATATATAATCTCCTTCTTCACCCATACATCAAAGCACAAAAATGACATCAGCCTCTGAATTCCCAAAATTAAAATGATAAGCAGGAAGAGTCCAGGGGGGAGTGATGTAAATTTTACTTTGTCCCGGCTTCTTGATAGCAAAGATGGATAATGTATTTTTTGGGTGTCCAAACCAGCATGAGGGTGAAACAACTTAATTCACTTTCCCTTGATACAGCCTTAAGATTTTGAATTCCCATTGTCCAGCATGCACATAATTCATATTGTCCAGGAGAGCAGTTTTACAACTCTGTAGCGTATTCCCCTGAGCCAAGCCATCATTACCTGAAATGACACTCTCAGCTGTTCAGCCAGAAATAAATGTGTAGAAATACTCATTTAACTCCAACTGCAGGGCTAATCCTGGCAGATCACAAACACTGGTGTGCAGAAGTAGGGCAGATTCAGCATTCAAATAAAATGTGTGTCTGCTGGGTAACTTCGTTTAACGGCCTCAAGTTGCACCAGGGGAGGTTTGGATTGGACACTGGGAAGAATTTGTTCACAGAAAAGGTGGCCAAGCAATGGAATAGGCTGCCCAGGGAAGTGGTGGAGTCCCTATCCCTGGAGGCATTTAAGAGATGTGTGGACATGGCACTGAGGGACGTGGTTTAGTGATGGCACTTGGTAGGTCAGGTTGATGGTTGGACTTGGTGATCCTGAAGGTTTTTTCCAACCTAGACTATTCCGCGATTCTCAGAATTGTGTGGGGACTATCAACTATGGTTAGAGGAGACATTTTTCTCTTCACACCAATGTTCAGCAAACAGTCATTGTGCATACAGACAGTTGGCTTGCCCGTAATTTGTGAGCCTGGACAATGCCTGTATATGTCAAGTGTACCAAAATTTATTTTCTCTATGATCTGGGGAAAAATATAAAAAAAAAAAAAAAAAAAAAAAAAAGGAGTTGCAGAGAGAGATCAGTGTTCCTTCAACATGTGATCACCGTATTTAACACACATATTTAATAGATAGGCATCTGAGTTCATGGCCTCAGTGCCCTGCTCGTTCCCATGTTACCATCCTCTGCTGGTCCTGAGCGCACTGTGTCCTCCTGGCTGCCCTGCTGTGCTCGGGCACCAGCACCACCCCGGGCCTTTTTGCAAGCTTTGTGAGGGAGTTGGACAGTAGGTGACAGGCTTTGGGGGCAGCCTCTAGGTCACCTGCTGTGGGTCACCTCCCCACATGGGGCTGACACAGCACTGGGACGAGTGAATGAAGCGTTGCTCCCTGCTATTAGAGCAGTGGAATCCATCCCCGGCCTGACCTCGTGCAAACCCTGCTCCTGTATTTATAGCGTGGAAAGAACAAGCACGGCTGCTGCCAGCAGAGCTTAAATACATGGGGTGGTGCAAAAATCTTCCCTACAGGTCCAGATCTGCTCTCACACTGGCAGGGGCTGCCCAGCTCCCCATACAGATGCTGCCTTGTGCTCCCCTCTCCCAGGCTGGCCCTTCCCTCGCCTGCCCCTCTCTTCTGGGAATGTCCTTTGCCAGCAACACTGAGGGATCTCCCTCCTCATACAGCAAGCAGTACCCTACAAAATACAGGCAAGCTCATGTAGACAGATATAAAGCTCCCACAAGGTGTAATTTTTTCACTTTTGTTGCTTTTAAATGCAAAATCAACATAAGAAAAGTATATAGGAGGTAAACAAGCAGGAGGGAGACCTTGAGACCTGTCAGCTCTGCATTTGGAGAACCTGAGCCCTCAGCAACATCTATGCTAAAGGTTATTTCACAGTGGCTCAAAGGAGAGGCTTAAGGATTTATGGATTTTGCTAATCAGGCTGTGACACACCTCAAATCATTCACCTCCATGGGCTTCCTTTGCAAGAAGTCCGTGCTTTTCCAAACATTTCCAAGTGTAGGTTCTCATTACAGCAGCGAGGATGGAAGCAGAGCAGAAGCAGGTCGCCTAGCCTGCAGGCACAGCAGTGCTCAGTGGTTTCAGGGTCTGTGCTGGGGATGGGAGAGCTTTTGGAGAAAGCACCCAGCAGCCACCAGGACAGTCACTGTGCCATGCTGCCAGGCTGCAGGCTGTGAGAGGCTTGGTGATGCCTGAGGGGAGAGGATGGTCCAGAGGATATTCCCTTGCATGTGTTTTTCAGGTGGCAGCACCGCAGGAGTATGCAAAGGGCGAGAGTTTTTTTTAGGGATGAAGCACCTGCACATTTGGACCTTATGACTAAATTTGTGTGGCTTCACTGAACTTGAAACAGTGTAATAACATGTCCACCGTAAAGAAATGATACAGTAAAAGAGATTCTTTTTTACTGTCTTAAGACCCTGATTGGATGAATTATTAATTACAGGCTCTTTTGCAGTGATCCTTTCCCGGGTTCCCCCCTCACCTTGAGGGAGGTGCCAGAAAGAGTGAGAGGTGGCTGTTAAGCATTTTTTTTGGCATCCCCAGCTCCAAGCCAGGATGCCTGTGGTTATATTAACTCTCTGGATTTGGGGGGCAATGCACTTAAACTCCTCTCTCCGTCAGTTACCCTGGAGCAGCAAAGTGCACTCCTCTCTCCGCGATGATTTTAAAGCATTTTGCAAGGGGCAGGCTTGCAAAATGCATGACGTGAAAGGGAGAGGAGCAGCCCCACTGTAAGGGAGGAGAAACAAGCACAAACGTGTCAGATAACCTGCAGAGAGCTGTGTGGAGAGGACGGTGTCCCTCAAGCCTCTTGCCCTGTGGACATCCGCAGGTACCTAAGCAGCCTTGGCTCCTCGGGGTGTCCTTGGCACGGCACTTTTGGTGTGGCAAGTGACTCATCTCCAGCCTTGCTAAGCAAAAATCATCATCTGTGATAAGCCTGCACGCAGACCGTGGCTTCCTGCTGTACGTGGCAGATAAAGAAAAACAAGAGGCTTCCAAAAAATTGCAGAAGCGGTAGAGGAAACTGCTGGTGTGTGCTACAGCCCAGTGAGCACACCTTTTCTTTTTCTTCGGGTGTTTCAGTCTCGCTGCTTCGAGGTGCGCTGCTGCAAGCTGTGTTTCCTATCTGCCTGCCTGCACTGTGACTGTGTGAGAGCTGCACGGGGACAGCAGAGCTGCAGCTGACGTGAGATACAACCCAGCGAGATTGGGCTGCTCGCTTTGTTCGCACTGTTTATCTGTTCCCCTGCCAGCACGCTTCCCCGTGCCCCTCTGGCGTGCTTTAGCACCAGCCAGCCCTGTGCCATCATTCCTCTCGCATGCACAGAAACTGCCCCGGGGCAGTCATCAGAAAGCTAGGCTTAATTTAAGTGAGGCACATTGGCAAGAAAGGACAAAGGTGAAGCTTTTTGCCCTGAAAAAGTGTGAAGCTGGCTGCTGCAGTCTGCTGTGAAGGAGATTTCATTTAGAAGCACACACACAAACGTGGTCCATTCAAACTGTACTGGCAGCAGATCACATTCTCGATGATGACGTGGTACAAAAGGCTTGACGTTTAAATCAGACAAGAAAAAAGATAAATAAATGTATCTACTGTTTTTCTGCCTTTCCGTTGGGTTCACACACCACTGTCTGCATCCCTCTTTTTGGCATCAATCCCCCTCTCCACAACAGGGGCTTTCTACTTCCCCGTGTGCTGGCCTTTTGAAATGCTTTCATAGGAAGTGCTGTGGGTCTCTTGTGTTTGAAGAGAAATATTGATCACAGAGGTATGAGAAATACATTAGTTTTTACAGTTGAGTTGGAAAAAGTGCTTCTAAGGTATTGTTACTTTGCCACAATAGGATGCTGCAGAGACTTCCATATTAATGTCTGATTTATCACAGCATGACTGATGGAAAACAAGCAATGTGCAAGTGCTGCAACAGAGGACATGGAGAGAACAGCAAATGTTTTCATGCATTGATCTGTCTGATGAGTTGATGAACCAGTGAGTTCTGCCTTTAAGCACAGTAGAAGAGCATCCAAGGCTTCAGTTTGAAGATACTAGTCTTTCCTTTCCTGGGGCTGAAATGAGTTGAGAATTTCGTTCTCATCAACTCAACCTCCATAGTGAAACCACCAGTGAAAGTTTCCAGTGTGATGATGTTGATGCCTGAATGGGACACCCAGCTGGGAGGGCAGGAGTGGAAACCCAGCTAGGCCTAGCCCCAAAACTGCCATCAGGTGGCATTAGGGCTTGCAAAGACCCGGTGAGAACGTGGTGGCTCCATGAGCTGAACCTGTTTGGAAATACACACATGGAGAACTCCCCAGACAGCCCCATGCTCTGCCCCTGGGCAGAGGCTCTCCTGTGTGGGGTCAGATCCAGACTTTGGCTAGCTACAATTATGCCTGCTCTGTTTAGCAACATTGGCTTTAATTTTGAAATGTTCCCTGGTGCTGGAGGTCCTTGAAAGACTGCCTCCTGCTTTTAAATGTCACTGCGGAACCTGCCTGAAAGTCCAGGGGATAGAGGCTACTCGAGGGTTCAAGCGCTCCTGAAGATGCTCTTCTGTGAGGGTGAGGATTTCTGATCCTGCCCACGTAGCTGTGCCAGGTGCTCCTCTACTCTCTTCAATGGTCTTTTTGGGGTTGTTTTTCTTTCTGCACCAGATTGCAACATGAAATGGAGGCGATTTGCATCGTGAGCTCCCAGTTGGCTGCCCGTCGGTCACTGAGGATGTGTTGTGCCTTGGTTGCTGTCAGCTGGTATTACGGGAGCAGCTGTGATGGTTTATTCATGCTGCATTGCTGTGCCTGAACTCAAAAAAGGAGGCTCTCTTCTATCGCCAAGTTTGGCAAACTGCAGTGATAGGAGGCTAACTCTTGTATGTGGTCCGTGTGAGACTGAACTGCTCTCTCTGCTGTGGTAGCAGGGTTTGCAGCACCCCAGTCTCACTGAGCGATAGAAATACTGGCAGCTCTCACAGCAGAAAGGGGATTTTCTGCCCAGCATAAACCATTAGCAGAGCTATAGCATATTTGGTAAATAGACTAAGAAGGCGAAGCGAAGCTAGCAAGCCACTATACAACGGGAGACGTTAAAGAAACCACCGTGTTCTCCAGCTTTGTGCAATTAAATAGCTGCTCTGCTTCACCCCAGCGGTGGTTAATCTGCAGCAGTGGTTGAGCCACTTTGTTTGTGTAATAGGCAAAGGCAGCCTGCAACGGGCTTCGGTTAGATGCAGAGATTGTATTGTCAACACAAATAATGCTTGATTACTAAGAGATGGAGTCCTAGCCAGGAACAATACATCTCCAAGTGTACGCCCTTACGATCGGAAGGATAATCTATCGATAATCCAGTTTTTAGGAAGAGTAACTAGAAAAACAGTGTGAGCAGCTGAGATGGCATTCTGCAGTGTGTGTTTGGTGAAAGGATGTATTAACACTGTCCCCAGCACTTAATCATTGAGTGCAATACACAAAAATAGCCAGGAAAGTTGCAGACTCTGCTGAATGGGTTGAAAGGTTGTGGGAACATGTTCTGGCACAGCCTTCTGCTGTGGCGAGACACACAACAAGGGTGAAAGGATAAACCTTCTTCTCTCTCTCATTCAGCATCAATTTGCTTCCTGGAGCAGAAACGAAATTCCATTACTCATTTAGGGTAACACTTTTCTAATGCATATAATGTGGAAATTTCTCAGCTGTAAATCTTCAGTCCTGCTCAAACACTGGGAAAAAGCTTTCGTATATTACACAGTGAAGTATTTGTAAACACAGATGAATTGAGTTTAAGGGGAACTTTGGTCAGCTGAAAAATAAACCGACAGCGTATTACAACATGACAGCAGACGAGTCAGGCACGGAACCTGCCTGCGGCTCTTAATAAAACCGCTGCTGTGAGTAAAGCCTGAGGCCCGCTGCTGGAGATAGCTGGAGAGCAGATACCCAAGGAAATTAGGATGAAGAACCACTTGGTTGGCTTCCTGTGGTATATGTGAAGAAAAGGTCTGTAAAAACCTGTCATTGTGCCACAGTTAGCATCCAGTTAGGTGCCAGCCTGGCCAAGGCATGAATGCTAACAGTGCCACGAGCTGCTGCTGTGCACACAGGCCGTGCTTGTAGCTCTCAGGCCGTGCTGGTCGCTCTCATCGTCACCGTTTTCCACCTGACATAGCTGGGGGTGCTGGAATGAGGACATTCAGAACTTGCTTTCATGTGGAAACACTTCCCTGTTGCCCTCTGGCTAGGAAGCATCTCTGGTTTTACGTAGTGCCAGTCACCCAGCGGCCTTGCATCCCTTTCTGAAACACTCAGCCAAAACTGACCCTTTCCGAGGGCAGATTAGGTTAAATCAGAGCAGGCACTCCCTACCCTGGAGTAAGAGCAGCCTTTCAACTTGCATTTGCTCTTAATCAGGGTGGACTGGCAAGTGTAGACAACTGTACCATTGCACAGAGGAAAAAAGCTTGAGGATACAGATAGCAGTCTGATACGGAGGCACAGAGTGGGCCTCCCAAGCCCTAATCTTTCTTTTATGTACCTAACAAGTGTGTGAGGTTTAGTTTCTTCTGCCAATGGCATCTCTTATGCAATGTACTTTGTCCTTTCAGTTTTGTTCTCACATCGATTATTTGTACCTCTGCTTACTTCTGCAAACATCAGCCTCCTCTTTATCATTTGCCTCACTTCTTAGAATAGCTGCGTGTGTACAAACAACTGACTTGTTGTGATGCAACACTCCCAATTTTCACATGACCACCTTGACACCAACTATCTACAGCAAATCAGTCTCTGCAAGCAAACCAGAGCTTGTTTCATTTATTTCAGTCACATGTTGTTTTCAAGAATCTGATGGATTCCTTAATCTCACCATACACACGCTGCCACTTCCTCTGTCAGTAAATCCATGAAAATTAGCAGAACAGAAATAATGGTAACACTGCATAATTCAGCAATACACCCTGACAATATTTGCTAAGCTCCTGTCAACACAGCCTGCTTTGCTGTTGCACCAGCATACAGTGTAACAGTCCTATGGACTATTATTGGTCTGTTTTTTTTAGGTACCTAACACATTTTGCAGGAATATAACAACAGACTGAGGTTATATCACACTGGTGTGAAAGTCAGAAGGCTAAAACCCTAAACCAACAAAGGTGCACTGTTATTTTGCCACAGCTGCAGGTAAGTCTGTGTAGGAATGACTGACCAGCTCTACCCAGCTTGGTCTTTGGTGCTTGGATTTGAGTCCATCTCCTCCTCTCCTGCGCTCTCAGCAACAGCACCTGAGAACACACTCACGGGGCAACCAGGCAGTTGCATAATTTATGAGACAAATAAAAAACCTAGGCATGGTTACAGAGGTGTATGGTTAAAGATACTTTACAGAACAATTCAGCCATTCTTCTTTAGACAAGAGGGGAGAAGTAAATCATAAAGGTGAGTCCTTGAGGTAAATGAAAGACAGTGTGGCTTTGTGTTAATACCGGTAGAGCTACTGCAGTGGCACCTTGATGTGAAGGAATGCAGCGCTTCCCTAGCTGTGGAGATGTTTTGGTCTTTTGTATGTAGAAACTATTAAGCTCATGAAAGAGACTAAGAGGTGTTTCAATCTCATGTCTGGATTTCCTACATATTGGATAAAAGACCTATAGTAGTAGAAATATCTTTAACACAGACCAAAAATGAATAAATTGAGCTAATAATTGAAAGGCAAAGCTAAACAAATTCAAAACGCAAATTAGAATCTTTTCACGGTATTTCACCTTCAGAATAACTAATATACCACTCTAGCAGACTTGTGATCATTTGAAGTGTTTAAATCGAGAGTGAACTATTTCAAAAAAAGAACTGGTATTGCTTAAACAAAGTTAAAGCTATCATGTTGTATTTACTGAAACAGGATGTTTGAACTTCATTATACATAATCCTTTCTTGACTTCAAGTCCAAGCCTAGTTGTACAAGCCTGGAGTAGTGGGTCTTCATGTTGTAGTCCTGCTGTACTTGTAGTTCCTAAAATTTTTCCATAAGGCTCAAATTAGGGTGGAAAGTTGCTTGTTCTGATTTAAAAATAAATAAACCAATTTGAGGCTTAAAAATGAAAGGTAATCCTTGGCTTTAATTTTGCTTTGTCCTTTCAGCTTCATGCTTTCCTAGTAACACAGCACATATTTCTATAAAACAATTGACATGAAATGTTTCTTGTTAAGCTATTTTATAATAAATTATATATGGGCTCCTTGGTTGCTTTCTCCATTTCCTTGCTTTCCATCATGTTTGGTATTTTGTGCAGTGCAGATGGAGCACTTGGCTGTGATTAAAGATGTTTTTTGAAAGTCAACCCAAAAAGGATACCATATAGGAGCAGAATGTATTTTATTTATTGTGGACTGAGTCACAGAGAACAAAAGATTGCAAGCCATTGGGTTAACTGTTATCAACAAAATATAGAGAAACAAAGTGTGATAATTTCCAAGTAAGTTGAAAACTGTTTAGGTCAGCTTCAGAAAGGAAGAATGAAATTTGATTGTCATGGACCTGAAGATGGTCCAAACACTGTTTTCCATTTACTGCCAAACCAGTATTGGCTACAAAAACAGTCTTAATACCTGACCTTGAGGGATGTCTTTACCCTTGAGTATTGGGACAGTTCTAGCCAGCTACCAAACACTTTTGGTAAATTCCTAGCTGAAATACATCTATTTCTAAACAAAGATTAAGAAATTATATACCACATACAGAGAGCACCTAGAACCTTTTTTCTATGGCACAATAGCGTATTTTCCATCAACCTTTGTAGATCAGTCTACAGGGTGGTATGAAGGTAAGAAATCCAGATTTCAGCCATGGTCAGCTGTGCCAAAGGAAGACTTTAGCAATCCCTGGCCAACAAGAAGTTACCAACTGTACACTTCAAGAAATAGTTTGATGGAACAGTCCTCTTAGTGGGCAATGGTGTCCCCAGATCGTCACTTCCATCGCCTCAATGGTTTTGATATAGCTATCTACTGAGTCAGGGAACCATGGCAATTCAATTTTTGGTTTTCTTTGGAGTTAGCTTCCCCAAGAGATTTTTCAGTAGGCACTGTTACCAGAAGAAATACTTGCCAAAGCCAGCTGACCAAGCATCTCTTCAGTTTTGTCAAGCCAGGCTAGCTCAAAGCCACTGCCAGCCTGTAAAACTGCTAGTAAGCTAAACTGGTTGACTGCTCAGAGCTGAGCAGTGCCAGGCTTAACTTTCAACATAGCATTAGTAACAACTATTGGAAAGGGTACTATCATAAGCAGCCCTGGTCATTCCCAAATCCCACTTGGCAATTAGAAGGTAAACACTGAGGAGAAAGACATCAGTAAGAAGTATCTTCTGCATGGAAAGCCTGCAAAATAAAACCTGCATAAGATGGAATTGATATACATATGGGGTTTGGGGAATAATATTTCAAAAGAAGCAATCATGGAGTACAGAATTTCTGTCAGTCCTTTAGAAGGAAAGATGATTCAGAGATGTAGCTTGCTAGCTCAAAACAAGAGCTCAGTTCCTTGAAGGCATAGCCCTTGGTGCTTAGTTCAACAAGTGTCTCAGGTAAAGACAGGACCTGTTACCTTAAACCACTTGACATATGATTTGTTTCAGTGATTTGATGCTCCTGCAATCATGACTCTGTCACAAGATCAAGGCATTTTGACATGGAAAAATATGAGCTTCAGTTACTTCTCCTAGGCTCTGAACCAGGCTTCCGCACCTTAAGGTGACAGGAATTACAGCCTATGTTCCGAAGAACAAGTGATCCTGCTAAACAGGTACTGTTTAGAAAGTGAAAATCTCCCATCCACACTGATGGTTACCACTGGGATGAACAACCTTTAGTGTAAATCATCCCTAGGTAGTCATTTACAAGATACAGGAGATAATACTTTGAGTGTAGAACATTCCTGGAGGATGAAAATATTGTGAAAGATATGGTGGAACACAAAATCCTATTGCTGTTGAAATGGCTGACAAGACACTCATACTTCAAGAAGGTCCTTATCTCCTTATTCTGCAACCTGTTATGGAAGACTGGCTGTAGGCAAGGCAGTTTGAATCCTACGCAGTTGCTCTGATTAATTACAGTTCAGACAGAATTTAATCACAAACCTACCAGATTGCCTTGTTATATTTTTGCTACTTCCACCTATACAGCTCAATATCCAGAAGTAGGTTAATATTAAACTAATAGATTTTTATTCCCATTTTACTCAAGCTATTATCTGTTCAGATAATCAATTTATTTTTTTTTCTTTAAAAAAACTACCAAAAAATGCCCGAAGCACTACATTGCCTTTCCCACTTTCTTCCAACTTAATGACATCTCCTCAAAGGTCACAGGATGATGGGTTGTAATTCAATAAACAAGAGGAAGTTGTTCTGGTACCTACATGTACCTGAGTGCTCCTGCTAAAAGCTTCAACTTGATGATGACTTGATGTTGTTTTGTTTGTTTTTTTTTTCTCCTTTAAATTACGTTACCCATTTATTTTTGCTTTGTAACTACAAGAGACCTTTCACAGAAGCCAGTTCTTTCATGTATTTTACTTCCTTGCAAAATACAATCCACAGCAAAATACAAACCAGCATGTTTTCTTCTAATCCCTTTCAACTACCATAGTAATTCAATGATGCTGTAAAGTAGGTCTGAAATTTTCAGACAGAAAACATCAGTTAGCTGATGCTGTAAAGTAGGTCTGAAATTTTCAGACAGAAAACATCAGTTAGCTGGAGCACATCCCCATCAAATACCTCAATACTTTTGCAATATAAAGACTTAATAGGGATTCTGAGGTGCTGTTTATTTATTTAAGTTCATAGGAACCATCATACCAGAAGACAGAGTAAATGCTCCAATCTAAGATACAGATCTTTTACTAACCACCTCTCGGGAAACCATGACCACAAGGTTATTATCATTAGCCAGCAGGACAGTGATCTCATTTCAGCTACTGACCTTGTTCTATCAGCATCAGTGATGACTTACAGATGGGAAAGCATATAAAACATTAATATGTAAACGCTGTGAAGTGCTTTCTAAGATGTGAAGTGCCCCCTAATTTACAAGGTATTATTTTATAAATACTGTATTATAAGTGTTATAAAGGTATTTTACAAGCAGTTATTAATGCCTTTGCTGCAGGCTGAATCTGTAAGAAGTTGCTGAGCAACCAGCTGTTACGGAGCACTATTTGGGACAGATTGAACTAACTTTTGTAACACGTCTTGCCAATATTTTATTTTGGAGAAGCGACAAGCTGTTGGTCTCAACAGCTGTAGTGCTGATGGTCCTACGGCCAGCTAAGTTTATAAATACAGAAGTTTTCAGACTTGGAGAAGGAAGGGGATGGTAAGAGGAGTACAGGTGTTAAGTACTTGATTATACTCTCTCCTCTCGGAATATAATCAGTTGTGCCATTGGATGGAGATGGATACAAGGGCATTTGAAAGTCTTCTGTATTATTTACACTTTCATAACTTCCTTGCTCGGTTGTTGTTGCTGTATGAGAGGAATAACTGGAAATGCCATTCAGCATGAAGTGGTTTAGCTCTACCTCCAGCACAGGCTTCTTGACACACAACACTTACTTTTCTGCAATGCTTCACACAGTACTCTTTAAGCAGAGAAAATTTCAACAGCAGATTAGTAACATTAAAAGACAAGCTTCATGTGCCTGTCAACAATGCACAGCAGAGCTGTTGCTCAATTTGGACGGTAACAGTTGCCATATAAAAAATACTCTGTTTTCTTTACAAAATAAGATCCATCAGCTGAAGCAATTAAGAAACCATGAGTCTAAGTATTATGATAATTTTCCACGCTTGGTTGATTTCAAATGTTAATGGCTTTAAAAAGAGGAGAGTAAAAACCCAAGTTTACTGAGGTCTGAAAACAAACTGTGTAATCCCAGCACGTTGCTCTGGCAGCGCTGCTAAATCTGGTCTCAATACCACAGTGTCAACATCCATCAGGTGCAACTGCCACACACTGCTTCAGTCATTCTGTGGCTTTCTGTGGAAGTATGTGCAGATCTTCCTCATGGAAGATGGAGTGGTTACAGCCTAGAAAAAAAAACAAAACACAACAAACAAAACCACAAAACCAATAAGAAACGTTTCTTGGTTTACAGTTCTCATGCTGCCGGAGTCTTAAAGTCTCCCCTCCATCATCGCTCCAGTTTGTTTAGCTTTCCAAGTAAGATAGCAAATGAAAGGTTCTTTACAGTAATCTGTTTGTCTCACAGATAAGAGGCTTACCACCCACAGGAAACACTGGCTAAAAGCTGGGGTTGTCTTACTGCTGTAGGAAATGCACCCTGGCTGCAGCTCCAGCTTCCCTACTGCAGATTACAGGGCTGCAGATCCCCAAGATGTAACAGATCAGTGAGTGCTGCTGCTACTCCAGGCACCTTGGCAAGCCTCGGGCACAGCACAGGCCATGAGCATCACAAAGTTTGAACTAGAGCATAATGGGCAGGACGGATGATTGCTGAACAGTAATCTCTCTCCAGGGCAAATCTTTACATCTTGTGTTTAAACCCATACTATAAGTACTTGTAGGTTTACTATAACCACGTTTTCTTGGCACAACAATAACATGAAGAGTTCAACTCCTACACATAACCTAAGGAGTGGTGGCTTGCCCACCTCACATCTGGTAGAAATGCTGGAAGAGGTGAAATCAGTTAAGATGTGAGATACTTCACTAAAATAAGCCTTCAACTCGGCAACAACGTCTAGCATCAGATGTTCAATTGAGAGCACAACTAAGATGTGATAACTGAAAATTTACCTGACATTTACTGAAATAAGACTTAGTCAAAGAAACTGTTGGATGTCGAGTCCAGTTTCAGAGAAGAGACAAGTTTGGTTTGTTTTTGAAAAATGTAATTATCATTTTTCAGTATGTATGCTAAATCCTCAAGCCTTCACACCAACTTTTTTAGCTGCTTTATAAGCTTAACTTCCAGATCCTAATATGAGCTCAGTGCCAGGCTTCTTGTACATCAAAAGTAGGATTATGTACGTCAAATCCTGTCCTCTGTCTCTTTTGCAATTTCTTTGTTTTCTGATAGTTTTTGGTAGAATGAACTGAAGGAATTATTTAGTCCAGAGTTTTAAGATAAGTAACAAGTTCTTTTGCTACCTGGGCTAGAATAAAAGTTAGCTCTTTCTTCCAATGCTAACATGTCTTTCCAGTAACGTAAATAGGCAGACGTGACTGTGAACTCATAAACAATAGATCTGCCAGGAAAGGTGCTGTCATTACTGTGCTTCTTAGAGAAGAGATGCATTACAGATGACAGCTACATCCTTCAAACATCCAGCTGGGGACTATGAGGATTTTTGAGCTCCTGTGTGCTCTAAGTTCCTTTCAAAGGATGGACAACACCATCCTAAGATTTCTCTTCCTGCACAGAGGGGATTAGTAGATAACAGCATTAATGTATCTAGCTTATTAGGCCAGAAATCATCTCTTTTGTCTGGAATCAAATAATTCTTTGAATGCCTGGGTGGAAGAGAGCTAACCATGCGCAGAAAGGGGAGTGTGCTAGCTAGGGAAAACTTCTTTCATTACCACTGTCCCTGACTGTCCCACTTACATTTTTCGGTGAGGTGGCCACTGCTGCAGCATCCTGTCGTTTTGCGCTGGGACTGCAAGATGACGGGGGGCTGCCAGCTTTGCCAGTCCGTAGCTTCTCTCCCAGAGCAGACAGCCAGTTTTTTCGTTCAGGTGAACTATTCTCCTTATCTACCACATCTGTGCCTTTTCCACATGGAGATTGGAAAGGAAGAGGGGAAGTTTGAACACCGGATGGATTAATACGGCTTCCAGAAAGAGAAGGCTCTTTTGGGCTGTGGCTAGAGCCTTCTTGCTCATTATCCAGGTCAGCCAGACTTAGAGAGCCTTCATCACAAGCTTTCTGCTCTGCAGCCAAGTGACACAAGTTTAGCTTGGACTTCTTAGCCACGTGGTCCAGTTCAGTCACACAGCTACAGGCCTGCAGACACTTCTGTCTCACATCGCCTTCCTTGCTGCAGTCGAGCCTCCTCTTGGCACGCTTTTCAACCTGTGAGTGTGGTGCTTTAGGAGTGCTAGATGTTTCTAGGAGACCTTGTGTGACTTCTGCCAGGGCTTTTCTAGGAGAAAGAGCCTTTTTCCCCACTTCTGGAGGAGAAGAGGATGGAGTCCTGGTAACCCAGTGTTTAATGGACATTTTGGAGGAAGTCACAGGTTTGGGAGAAGCGCATGGGCTGGCTCCAGTCCGCTTTGCTGGTGTGCAGGCTGCAGCAATTTGGGTTTTGAGGGAGACTGTAAGAGTGTTTGTAGAAAGAGGAAGGTCTCCAGAATAACTGGGAGCACAGGCAGCTGGACGTGGCGAGGAAACACACGGATTGCCCACTGTGACAGCCTTGGCAGGAGTATTCTGTAGGCTGGATGGTGATCCTGGTAGAGGAGAAATAAGTAGTCTAATGAGGTACATAGAACAGCAGATGAAAGGCAGACCTTTCATAAACGCCCCTTCCAGGCAGGAGATGGATTCAGCACTCACCCTGCTTCTCAGACATACTCTGCTGAACTACAGATTGCATAGATGCTTCTTATTTCAGTTAAACCGATACAAATCCTATTTAAAATCCTTTATCATATGGCTAAGTATAATACAGTACTGTGGTTTAATGTCTGACTTCTATTCATATTCCTTCTAAAACTAGAGTCCTTACTTAAGCTATAGCTGAGGGACTGATGGATAGGCAAAACAGATCTTGAATTTTCTAAGTTCATCTAGCCTTGCTGGCAGCTTTGCAATGGCTTGGTCCAGACAGATCTGTTTTGGGAAGCTGTCTGAGAACAAGGTTGGGTCCCTACCTGCAGCTGGTCACCTGCACAGTCTTTAATGGGGCCATGACAGAGTTGAGGAACAGAGGTACTGTAAGAAGGTCCCAAGGCTAATTATAATGCCACAGAAAATGTATGCTACAATACCTTCACAAATGAATAATGCTGATAGTCATGTGTTAATAGTTGCATATTTTTAAGATAAAAAAAATGCGAGAATGGGAAAGGACGTCCTCCTCTCGTCCTTTTCAGAGAGAACTTTCTGCAGTGCTGTATTAGCATGAAGTTGGTAGATTTTTACCACACCCAGGGAAATGAGAGAAGTTCTTCACCTCCTGAACAAGAACTTCAGTTCCAAAGAAAATAAAATCTGTCACTGTAGTTAAGGTATTTCTTTAAAATAAATGATCCCCAGACAAATATGTCACAATGGCATTTGAGCTCACTAGTCAAGATGTAAAAATCCCGTGCTCCTTTTTTTTCCTGAATCCCCAGCTTAAGTTTCTGAACGCCCAGCTTATTAAAATGGTAGTCATAGGTATATTTACACTCAGGACCTCATGAGGATTTCAGTAGTGACAGTGGGAATAATATATAGAAAAGATCTCAATCTGCAGCAACATTGGAGATTTTTTTTTTTTTTTTTATGGCACCCTCCAGAGACCACATTCACAGGTCCCTTAGATGCCTGCTTTCTCATTCATCTAACTTGAGGTGATGCAATTAAGTAGGATAGCACATGAATGCCCCAGGCATTTCCAGTACCGAGCACAAGAGCTCTAAATGTTTTCTGTATTCCAGAGGTTTAATCTGAACTCTTAATTCTCAACATTAGCTGCTGTACTGTAAAGCACTTCATTAGGACAATGAGAAGTCTACTGTGAATAACCTGCCATTTTCTTTAGGTGTCTAGGCTGTCTGACAAATAACATGTCAAGTGATCACCTACACAACTCTTTGATTACATACCCTAATAAACCTCTTTTGATCTTTCCTTTTACTGCATTATCTAGCCCTTTAAAATACAAGTACTGGTGCACCATACCAGGACCCCATATTAATGGATCCCACTACAAATCACCTTAAAGCATAAACAGAATTAAAGGCTTTCCTGATAAAGTGTGCTACCTCATAATAATTTACTTCAGCATGGACTAGGAGAAAGTGACTGCCAAGATTGGTTCTCTTAATCTTTACTTTAATGAGCACTTACAAAACAATAATATTTAAGCTGGGGAATTTGTTATATTTAAAAATTTAAGCTACTAGAAAGGAAGAAGCAAACCCAGCAGTTCTCAATCCATAATGACCACCTACAAATTCATACAGCAGATATAAATGTAGCATGACTACCTGGGTATGAGTATTCTCAGTCTCAAACCAATCTGAGAGTTATACTGTGGAGACAGCAGATAAGCAAAAAAAAAAAAAAAAAAAAAAAAAAAAAAAAGTTGTCCTGAGAGTCAGACAGGAAGCAAACTAGCTACATCCCCAAACCTGAGATAAAGAAAATCAACACGAGGCTTTTTTCTAAGACTGCATGCATTATTCAGGCTTCTACTCAGTTCCAGGCTGTTTCCATTCATGCTGCTGCTCCACAGAGTGTTGCATGCTTGTGCATACTTTAAATACCTGCAGTCAATTTGCCTAACACCAATGCAGGTATTTGAGATGTTTTCCACCTTCTCTGCTACAAATGCTCTAAAGTGGTATTACGAACCTCCAGATTTAAGACTCACAATTTTTTCCAGGTACGGGCCCACTCCACAAGTTTGGTTTCACAAAAGCAAAGAGAAAGTAGTGCAACTTAGGGGAACCACAAAAACAGTTTCCAAAGAAAAGGAAATTGCTTGCTACACTTCATGATATAGGTCAACAGTTAATACACAACCTCAGCCTCACAACTTGTTCCACATAAATAGGTGGAGAACTACCTAGATCTCACCCCAGCAAGTCTGAAATAGTACTTAGTTGCCAGTGCCGAATCAATCTCTGCAGATAACTCCTATATTCCATATTCCAACAGCACATGCTTTGTGCTCAAGAGCCAAGGTCAGCAGGAAGCCTGCTGTTGTGCTTGCAGTGTCTGTGTACTTCCTTTTCCCTCCTGTGTTGCTTTAATGCAGTAAGAACAATGAGAAATAAGCTATTTTTCCAGTAAAATTGCCAAAACTGACTTGTAAAATTTTAGTGTACAAATTAGTTCAGGTTTTAGGCTTATACACTAGACTCATGCTTACTTCTATAAAATACACAAAGTGTATTTTTCAGCCCTCTCTGTGTGCATGTACACACAAACCGTTTACCAACTACAGAGCAGACCTGGCACTCTCCCTACTATTGTCCTGCAAACTTCCTGCAAGACTTACTCACTGGCAAAAGGTTAGATGTAACGTTATCCCATTAGTGGGATTTGGAGACCTTCAGCCTTTATTTACGTTAGCCAAGGTGAAATTCATTTGGAAAGTGGCTAGGAAAGATAGGTGGAACACAGGAAGTCACACCAACAGCTGCTAAAAAGCTATTTTATTCTTAGTTCCAGAGCTACGCTACAGTGAAGCTCATCCTATTTCACTCAGGGGAGGGGGTTGTTATTCTCCTTTCACCCACTCTGCTGTAACAAAATGCAAATTTTACACAAGTCAAAGCAGTGCTATGACCCAGGGCTCCTTTTTGTTCTAAGTACTGTCCGGTGAGTAACTTCTCCTCCAGAGAAGAGCAGCAATTCACAATCAAGGCTACATTAGAGACATTGAACTGATTTTTCCTGATAATTCTTCAGATGTACATATTATAATCATTTAGACCAACCTTAGGCATTCTTAAGCGTGATATAGGCCAGATCTGCTTGCTAGATTCGAAAGCATGTTGCAAGGTTTGTCTGATCACCTAGGCTTTGTAGACAGGTATTGCAAATGAATTGATGAATGCTATTGATTAATTTTTGGAACAATTTGATCATATTGTGATTGTCTACATGCATTCTTGAAGTCCTTTGACTAAGTGCCATTTGTCTGTACGGACAGTCAGTCCCACTTCACAAAGCTAAAGAAAGATGTAATATCTTTAAACGACGTTTAGATGTAGAGCTTAGGGATATGGTTTAGTGGGGACTGTTAGCGTTAGGTCAGAGGTTGGACTCCATGATCTTGAGGTCTCTTCCAACCTAGAAATTCTGTGATTCTGTGATTAATATCAGCAAAGACGACTGACCAGAGTTCAACTGCTGGGCAAAAGGAACCAATTCAGAGTTCCCAGGCTGTGCCATCAGCCCTTTACTTGGTAAAATAGGAACTGGAAAAACCGTATGATCTTACTGCTCTCTGTTATTATTTGACATGAAAAAAAATTTGACTTGCTACAGCTAATAACCAAACCCTCTTTAGCTGGAGATGTACGAAAGCAGCTCTGAAGCAAGTGATTCTGGGTTCCAGCTCTGCCAGCTGAATAAGTCCAGGCATCTCCTTTGGCTGTTCACTTATCAAACCCTGCTGATGCCCACTGAAGACCTGGCTGCCTGACAAGCTATATTAAAAAATATTTACTTTGCAGGCTGGTCATGTAAACTTCATCATACTGTAAGCTACTGCAGCCAGCTCATCTTGGTGGCAGTAGAAGTATTTACAAGTAGAAGTGTCTGGCTGGCTATATGAACTATTGGCTAACACAAAAAGAAAAAAGAAAGAAAGAAAAAAAAGGGAAGAGTAAGACAAGCCAAGGGCGTTTGTTGGTGAACAGCCAAATTTCAGAAGCCCTGCTGAAGAGCAAGATATCACAGGGGCCTTACCTGCTCCACGATGTTCTGTTTTCTTCTGTGTGGCCCAGCCCACCAAGTTGGTTTTACTGGACGCTGACTTCTCCTCCTCAGGACAGTGTTGTAGGCGCCAAATTCTCACAGTGTTGTCATCAGAGCACGTGGCAATCTGCAACAGAAGTGTGTTTGTTGCAATCCCTGGGGCACTGCAACATGACCTAGGACAGCTACACCCAACACACCAAGCCAGTATGAATGCAGGGTGAAATCTGGTTGGCAAGGGGACAAGATTTACCCATAAAGCAAATGAAATAACTCAACTCTACTTCATTATTGTACCATTGACAAATGTTTGCTTTAAAGGGGAAGGCTGCCTCTCGGGCATAAAGCCTTCAATTCTTTTTGCTAGAGAAATCCCAGCCACCAGTAACCCTTGGCCTTGCACAGCTCTGTAACAGAACAGCATGCTCAGGAAGGGCCAGTGCATAATTTGCTATTTCCACCACTCACTAGCCAAAAGCAGACATGCTGCTTCTTGCACCTGCATCTAGGTCTGTCTCTGTTACTCAGGACCTTTTCTGCTTGGGGACAGACACTTGCAGCACACTGAGCAGGTGACACTGGAAGGCTGTTGCACCAGCCTTAAGTGCTATCTCTGCAGACTCAGATGTCTGGCAGAGAAACCAATTCTGCTAGAAACATTCACCTAGATTCCCGCTGTGGTTCTGTGTGTTACAAAATGATCTGCAGAAGTTATTTCAAACAAGCAGCAGCATCTACCTAAGCCACGCTTTTATGGCTCTCTTTGAACAGGTTATCTGGTGACTCACCTGGGAATCACCAGCAAGAAGGAAACGCTGAGGCCCAAGTTCGTAGTAATGTGGATGAGAAAATGTCTATACCGTGACACCAACATTGTAACCCCAGAAAGCAACCTGGCCTCTCAAATCACTTCAGGCAGCTTACTGACCTTTCTTAGCATCACGTTTTCACTTCTCTCCATGCTTCAGTCTGTAAAGCAGGTAACTATTTTTCACTTGTGTTGGTATAGATTTTAAAAGGCTGCATTGCTCTGCATTTCCAAATCATAATGATCAGGATGGTGGGCCATGCAGACCAGAGATTTTATCCAAAATACCAATTCACATATTCTTCTGTATCTTATACAGCTAGAATAATTCTAAATGTCTGTCTGCAAGACTCTCCTATATTGTAAAGTTTTTCTGAACACCTGGTGCTGCAGTGAAAGCTAAGTAAAGTGGCTGACTTGCATACCTATGGGATGCAAGAAACTCTATTATTAGGATACTGTCTAGGATTTTTCAGAGTTACTTCTCATTTTGAGCTAGGCTAGTCACTTAAACCAGCTTCCTCTGTTAATTCCCTTCCTTCTAGTGATACTTGGGGCATAATAACTGACATAAACATCAACTGCAGGTTTTTGCATCTACACACAAATATTTGTCAAAAAACAGCTCAGATCTTGAAAAAAGTCACAATGAAAGAGTCCATGCGTTTTTTAGAGGGCATTCAAAATTTCTTACCACTCTGTACAAGACTGACAGATGTATCAGTGGTCAGACAGGTAAGTATGGAGCCACAAAGCAAGCTTTTTGAAAGCCCTGATGACATGGTTTCATAATTTTGTCACTCACAAGTAGTGTACCAATCTCTCATTAGGAGAAGTCTTTGTTCATTTACAATTTGCTAGGTCTTATCAAATAGCCCAAATTATTAAAAAAAAAAAAAAGAAAATTTTCTGATACTTGTACTCATGCAACAAGCTTGGTTTACTGCCCACCGAATGAACATTTTTAGAAATTATTAACTAAGAACTTCCTTCCAAATCAACAAATATTGCCGCAATTTTGAAAAGCAAATATTGTCACATTACATCTATTGTTTCATAGGGAAGACAATTTTTCAGAAAACAAACCTTAGTGAAGTCTGAAGGACACCAAGCAATGGAAGTAACCTCTTGAGAGTGACCAACAAGTATCCTTGGAGGCAGGCTGGGTTCAGAAACCTGTAAATTCCATAGGAAAATAAGTATAAAATCACAAGACCCACAGCCTAAGATACACCACTGAGAAGGGCCTCCACAGCCCACCTGTGAAGCATGCAAATACTTTGTCTTTCCCATATCAGACAGGTAAGTTAAATGCTTCCTGCCTGTAATCATAGTCCATTGCAGCTGAGAGGTGAACCCAGACCTAAATCCCTGTTCCTTACTTCCAAGACTTCTTTTTGGCACTGGCTGCCTGAGGAGTTGTTGCCTGTTCAGTGGACCATGTAGAGTAAGACCAGACTTTACTTCACCACCTCGTGGACTAACCAGAGATGTCTTAATGCTCTTCCTTCCCCACAGAGCATCCCCACATCACGTACTGTTGGCAATCTCTTCTGAGAGACATGGACTGACAGAGCTCTGAGAATCAGTTTGTATTTCATCTCTAGAGCTGAAGTAGCTGGCCAGCACTGAGAGGTACAGACTTTCCCGGAAACACTTGCTTAACTCCAGCTGCACGTGGGATTTCTACCAGAGCTGTCAACCCAACACACCACACGAGCGTTTTACTACGTTAAGAAACTATCTGTTCTAGGTAAGATGCTTAAAAGTTTGGGAAGCACATTGAGAATAGGTAAATACATTCTGCTGCTATTTTGCAAATGTCCCTACCACAAACGGTTTATTAAGCAAACAAACAAACAAACAAACAAAAAAAAACCCACACCACCAGAAGTTCAATAGATGAATCTTCACTGGCTTCAGAACTGGTATTTGCATGGCTGCCAAATGTCTGAACCTCTTTCAGCCAACCAACTGGACCACAAAGCCTCTTAAGAGTTCACAAAAGTGCTCCCTATAGCACACACACCCGTTAAACTCAAACCCTGTTTCTCTTTAACCGTTCATAAATATTTCTCATTTTTATTATTGATCCATATTATTATTACTCTTCAATCACAGCTCATGTGATAGATACAGCCGAAGTTAGCATTAGGTGGCCCAAGGAAGAAAACACACAAACATGCACACACAGATTACATCCAAGCTTTGCATGCTTTCAGCAGACAATCCGTTCCAGATCTATGAGTCACCATTATTGACGTGATATTATAAGGGGGATTTATAAGGAGGATTTGCATACATGACTAAGTGAATGAACTGATCCTTTACTGTGTGGGAAAAGGAGTAGATGTTACATACAGATTTCAAAGAAAGATGCAAAACATCTGGGAAGGCTTCTGACTTAACACAGAAAGTTTTTGGTCTTGTTTTTATTAATTTTTCCCTTGTGGATCACCTCCTATAGCACCCTGTAGAATTGTAATTGAATATCCAGCTTCTGAATCTTGTAACTTGTTGTGATATTGTGAGAAAAATCAGGTTCTTCATAACAGACCATATTTTCTCCCCGATATAGCAGAGGCAGTCACCGACTAAATATCCACTAAATGCCTTGTTCAGATTATTCCTTCTCTGCCAAAATATGCAACATCATGGAAACTAAATGCCTATTTAGGGAATAATCAACAGAGGTGCAGAGAACACCTTCATTTACTGATAGCAGTCTTGCAATGCACACATAACAGACTGAGTAGTCACTAGTAGTCACTGACTCCTGAAAGGAAAGCAGAGGAAGAGAATAACTCTTGCTGGACCAAACTGGTTTTACACTGCAGTGGTGTAAATTAAACCAGTTACACCCAATTTACATTACTGTGTACTAAAGTAGGATAGGATGCATTCATTAGAATATGAACAAGGAGGAGGCCAACCTACACCACCCATACTTGGGTGCTAGAAAAAAAAATGCATTAGCAAGAGTTTTGTATTTCCTTATTTCCCTGGAATGCTGATGTATTTAGAGTCCAGAAACCCTCATTTTTAGCCCTGCTTCCTAAGGAAGGGTGGCTTCTGCAGCAAGGGGACCCATCTGTCTACTTCAACCTTTGGCTGAAATTGTTCAGCAGGTCCACACCCAAAAGAGGGCAGTGATCTTGGAACAGCTTCATGCTGATGAGATGGAGCATGCAGCCAGTGTTCCCATGGAGCAAGGCAGGCAGAACTGCAGCCCTGTCCATTGCATTTGGCAGAAGACAGTTGGCCAGCCTGTGCATTTTAAAGTCAAGATTAGCCACAGCCCATGCTGCTTTTTGCCTGATTTGACAGGATATCGTTGGGGAAGTCAGAGCTATTGTGGAAAGGTTAAGAAACAGAGAAACCTAGGAAGTGAGACTTTATTACTCTACTCATTGAACAGCTGTTGCATCCATTATCAGCGTAAAATGGTGTGTATAGTTTTATGCTTAATGATACAAAAGCACATACATTCCAACACTGGGTAAGACAGACCAAAGGGTAGCTTAATATAGTTATATTGAAGGATAATGGAGCCGTGGAAGTGTATATCTATGAACTATATTGTTTATTACCAGGGAGGTAGGTCAGCTAGATACCATTTCTGCAGACAGAAACTTCTCTGCTCTCTGGCTTTTATGATCTTAGGGTTGTTTGAGTCAGTTCATTAACTGACAGATTAATAATTAAAAAAAAAACAACCCAACACAATAAAGTGAATGTTCATTGTCTGAAAGTGATGTTATACACGGAAGCAGACTGAAACAGCACTCTCGTCAGCAATACCTTCTAGCCACAGTATTTCCTGGGAACTGCTGACCCAAGCACAGCTTGGCATTGCTTCCAAAGTTCCTCAAAGAAATAATCTAGGCGGACAATGTCTTGTTCTATCTTTTATTCCTTGATAAGGTCTTGGTCTGCCTTTTATTCCTCTCTAGATATGGAAAGATAGCACTCTTCATTAAATTCTTTCCAACATTACCTGTTAACTGTTCACGAAATATCTAAGCATATATTTTCACAGTACTCTAAGTCCTCATCCCATTAAAAGATACACACGTTTCAATGTCAGTAAAAAGTCTTCCAACATTTAAGACAAATTAAGAAGCCTCTGCATATGACAGATCTGAGAAAGAGACCAAGTTTTGCTGAAGGTTTGTCTTTCTAACATGCCTATGGGAATAAAAGAAAAGTGATTACCCGATTACTTATTTGTTAAGTATGTAATATGATCTGTCACCCACATGTGACAGCAATAGAAGCCTCCTGTATGCAAATAGCTTTTAAATATATTTGCATAAACATTGAGATGTTATGACATCCTTGAATGCTCTTGACCCAGTTCCAGCCACTTTTCCACGAAAAAGCCAAAACACATGAATGCAGGATGCACAGCCCAGGTTTCCACAGGTATTTTTGCTGAACTTGCAAAGAACTGAGGAAGGTTAAAATTACACTCCTTGACATGGAACTGGCCATGCTATTGCACTCCTGCTACTTCTGAGTAAGCAACCTAGCTGCTTACAAGAAGTGTTCTCACAATCAAAGGGACTACATGCTCAAACCACAAAAGGGTGACCCTCTTCTCTCACCTTTCTATTTTACTTTCAAATTCATTGTGAACAGGGCAAACAATTCAATAGTCCCTAAAATTACCCAGAACCTGAAATGAGCAGTCACCTGCAGCTTCTGTCTACTCTACTTGAGATAGGAAGTCTACTCTATTCCTGTACAGCTGTAAACTATGGAGAACAGAACTTGAAGCACGCCTTATTCTGAGGTCCCTGCTATTAACTTTGTGACATTTGCATTTCCTACACGTCAGCACAAGATGCCAAGTGACTAAGCCTCTCAGCTGTCAGACAGTGCTTTGGAATTTTGCTGAAGGCTCTGGCTGAGCCCTCGCTGTAATACAAAGGCTTTAACTACTGCAAATTAAGTATGAGAAAAAGCTAAATCTGCAGCAAGAGCTAGAAAAGGGGGGTGGGGAAGCGTGCCCTTTAAAACAATTGTTTTTGTGTGTGTGTGTTGTTTTTTTTTCCCCTAATGTGCTCCATTGCTAAATATGAACCAAGAACTGTCTACTTGTCACAGTTGCCTAAATCAACAGGATCGAAAGAGGACTGTAATGCCCATTGAAACCAGATTACAATCGGCAACTTGCAATAAGCAGCAGTGATGAGAGATGTATTGATGGCAGGAGGTTAGCTCTGCTTCACATTAGCTACATCTAGCCTGGACAGCAACACGCTCTGGGCACAACATGCCAGGAGCTAACCCCACGCTGCTTTAAGTAGGAGTGGGAGGCAGGGAGTGTCCTACATGAACATGAAAAGCAAATGAAACGAAAGAGCAGAGCACTTCTGGGCAGCCAGCCTGGGCAGGCCCGCTCCCTTGGGTTTCTCCCAAGCGTCTCACCTTCCAGATGTACGCGTTGCAGTCACTCGAGCCGCTCACCAGGAACTGGTCATCTGGGCTAGTACTAGATTTGATGTAAAAGCTGGAGTTCTGGTGTCCGCTGAAAACCGCCACTGTGAGAAAAAACAGTGAAAGTAAAAACACCACTCAGCACACAGCTGTGGGGTTGGTTGCATAAGCAGGGCTGATCTTACAGGCTTTTCCTGCCCAGCCACGTATCCTCTAGAGAAAGTGGTTGTACTGCTCCCTTGCTCTAGGGCTCCGAGCTCCAGCCGGCAGGTAGCAGGAAGCATCATTCAACAGCAGCCCTCACAGCTCCTGATACGAAGCAGGTTTACCTGAACGGCTCTCTCCACAGCATTAGAAAGCAGTGGCAGGTTTATTAAAGCTTTGGCCTGGTTACAATACGAGCAGAGCCAAGACATCACGTGGGCTACCCCAATGCTCTGGTTATGGCTCCTCTCCCCCTCTTCCCAGTGCCACAGCCACCAGTCCCACTACATTAACAAGGACAGTCACACAAAATGTTTCCGCTGAAGCAACCAGAGCATTTGCTACTCCTTTCTCTGGCTGCCAGCATCTCCGTTTCGTCAGCAAAACGTCCGCCGTGTCAGCTACGCTCGTCAGACATCTATATTTAACGTCCCCGTAATGCTTCACCTCGAGGCCCCAAATAGCTGCTGCTCTTCCTATTGCGAGCACCGGAAGAGCCAAGGGCCAGCACAGGAGCTGAACGTGGATGCGGAGCACCCCAGCCTCGTTATCAGGGTGGAAAGGGCAAGTTTCCTGATTTAGCACCACATGGGGCCGGCACACCCTCGCCCGGCCCTGGCGCTCAGAAGTGGTGACACTGTGAACGTTGCAGGATCCACAGGAGCGCAGCAAGAAAATGGCAGTCAGCAGTCAGTTAGAGGGTTTTCAGACTCTTTCCCATCGTGTTTTTGGCAAAGAAGGTGACCCACAGACCAGAGGACATGTGGTTGCCTCTGGCTTTCTTTGAAACGTGGTGAGACCCCACAAGATGCTTTGATTTTAACCTGCGGCTCCTTCTGCGCAGTGGTTACAGGCAAATCCTATTACAGAAGGATTTCCTCACGGCTCCCTTCCAGCTAACGCTGTCCTGATATTAGATCGGAGCTGCTGCTGTCTGGATAAAGACCAGCAAGGCTGGAAGCCCTGCATCCCCACTGGCACCTCACGCCAACCACAGGCCCGTGCTGCCCTCTGCGGGAGGCACGGCACACCATTCCCTGGCCAATTCCCCAACAGCCACACACAATTTTCAGCTGGCTGGATGAATCAAGATTTCTCTCGAGGTTTTATCTGCTACACACAAGTCAACGGAAGGCAACAGCTATATGCAGAGGCAGGTCCTGGGCTTTGTCCCGTTCTTGCAGGGGGACAGGCTGGTGGGAGAATTTCCACAGCCCAGTGGTGACACCCAGGGTTAAAATCAACTACTGACCTATTAATATTTAATCCTTGCACTACTTCTCAGCTTTGGAAGCATTCCCACCCAACAGACTGCCTTGCTGAAGAGCATACAGAAGGACACATTGTTCATTTAGTTTCAATTAACTGGAAGACTAAGAAAAGGCAATGGAAACTAAATCATATGTCTGTCTGGAATGCATCTAATAAGATTTGCCACTTTCTAAGAAGCAGCCATTGGCCTATGACAAAGAAGCTTAGTGCACCAAAGTCTGTGACCCATCTTGTCAACAAAAAGGTCACAGATACAGAGCTGAAGGAATCTAGAAAGTTGAGAAAACAAATGACAGACAAAAAGAAGCATCAATATGCTGGGGATATTTCCCCCCAGGAACTGCTGCAGAAGCTAAATTTAACAGACACCTTAAAATATCTAAGTACAACATAATAGGTGATCACTTTACATGGATTCAGACCTTAAAAGTTGAAAGATCAGAGATTGGCAGTAAGCAGAAGATTCAAGATTGCTTCAGGTGGGCAGCAGGTGGACACTAACCATTCCTCGCAAGGTAACCAGAGTCAATATGCAAACTACTCTTAGCGTCAGTCTAGTTGAAGCAGCATCTGCACTTACATGTTTTTGTGCTATTATATTTATTTACAATGTTTTAAAACTAAATATGAAGTCCTTGTAATATTAGTATATGAAAGTATAATATTCAACAGGTACCTTCTTTCCCAGGTACTTTCAGACATGAGAGAAGCTCTGTAACATCTAGCTAACACTGCCAGATGTCAGTCCATAACATGCTCCTTGTCTCTGGACTGCCCCACAAAACTGCTACACCAGGGTTCCAGCAAGTGCTGTGAGCACCAAGGGCTGGGGGTGAGCTTTTTGCATCTATAGCACCACATCACCTGTAGCTTGAAGAGTTGTTTTTATTGTTGAATAAGAACAATTTTGAAGCAGAAGTCTGCATCCATGTAACACTATAGCAAGCCAGCCAGCTGTTTGATTTTAGTAGATGCCTGCTGTCATGGATGACCTCAGAAAGCTTACTGTACACAGCATTACTTTTTACAGGTTATTACCACAGATATCACTCTTACCTGGAGTGGTCTTTAAACTTGTCATATTGAACATGTAGATACTGTCGTCAGTGCAGTTAGCAAAGAGATTAGCACCAGTGGAATCCAAAACTAGACTAGAATATCCTAAAGACAAGAAGAATTTAGAGAATTTATTTGTAAGAAGTAACTCCAAAAAATGGTTTGGACAGCAGGCATTCTCAAAGAAATTACAAGATGGAAATTTGGAAAGGATGTTATTATGCAAGATAGATTATCACTGGAAAATTTACTTGTTTGACAGGGCACTTGCTGTAGAAATAAAGTGCCTAGAACAATATCTACATTTTCTCATGTGTATTCAGGGCATTATTGAGAGAGAATTCCCATCTTCAGAGCAGGCAAGCAATTTATCTGATAGCTTCAAATGGATAGCAGGAACACCCAATTGTAGAAACAAAATTTGAAAATGAATAGAAGTCCTCATGCTTTGGTAGCTTAAGCCATCCTTTGATATGCTAGTGATTTAGCTTCAAGGAAGAGCTCTTCCTGCACACAAGTTATTTTATAACCAGCTCCTCAAAGACTTCCCTCATCCTTGGGACTTATACTGACCATTACGTGTACTAACACATCAGGACAGTTGACAAGTCATCAGCAATTACTGTGTTGCATCAGAGCATCATAAGGTGCTAAGTATAGAGCAACATGAACAAAAACACTTATTTTTGATTAAGAAACAGCCTCAATTATTGCTTGACTAAGGTTATGATGTTAAAAAACAGCCCCTTCTGTTGTCTTTGAAAGATACAATGCAAATAGAGTTCAATATAGTTTCAACTCATGCATCAAAAGTGCTAGCTAAATTCCACCTACAGAGCTCTATTATTCCCTCATCTCCAGTTCTGAGAACACACTGCTGAAGCTCATGCAAATTTGTATCATTGGTGCAATGATACAAAAGTGGAGCACTTTCAGTTGTCAACTTGAAAATTTGGTATTGGTGATCAAAATGTCCTGCTAAACTCAGTCTTAACAATATTTGTCAAAAAATAAAAGAGACAGCATTGTCAGTACTTCTTAAAATCACCTTGCAAATTTAGTAAATACCTTATCCAATAACTTACCCAGTTTGCGAGTACTGGTGCCAGGGTAGCAGAAAGACTTGAAAGGCACTGGATCCTGACGGTAAGCAGCATAGTTCTTGCGCAAGTCCCAAACTTTGATCACGCTGAAATATAAAAGCACAAATGTCTCTAACTTGTCAACAGCCAAAAACTTCTTTTGCAATGCAGATAGAGCCTTCTATAAGCACAGGAAGACAGGTTGCTTATTGAGGAGTGCCCAGCAATAAGTAGAATAGCAGAGATGTGCTGAAAGCGAAGCAATTATTCTGCCGGCTATGGATGAGGAAGCAGCATTGTCTTGTGTAACTAACACAACCTACAACGTGAGCTCACAAGTCAAGTTTCCTCAACTAATAAAAGGAAAGTACAAGGATGCCTTTATACTCGTGACAGTTATGATTTTAAAAATCAAGTCTTTTAAGGTTTTTCTTTCTCTTCAGGATCAAGCCTCTTGTTGAGCCATAGGCAAGTGAATATTATCTGTCTCAGAAAGGCTCTGGAGAATACACCTCCACACGGTGCCTCCTAAAGAAGCAAGACCTGAGTGTAATCTCCGTGATAATCAGTGAGATATTTTGCTTGCGCTCCAAGATGCTGCAACAAATCTGGCAGCTAGAAGAATGCATCCTTTATAACTCAAGGCAACATTTTCTCAAATGCCCACACATATCCAGGCACTGACCACCCACTCACATCCCAAAACAGCTCCCTATCTAACAATAGTCTGTTTACTTGTGGTCCTATAAGTCTATGAGATCAGAGATAAGAACTGTTCTCATTCTGCCCCAAAGCTAAAACACTAAAATGAACATTTACCACATATGCACAATTTGCCCCAGTGCTGCAATCTTGGGTAAGGAAGAAAAGCAGCATTCAGCTCTGGCGATGTAAGCTGGCAGCAAGCTCAGCTGACTATAACTAAAGGTAATTGTAGCTTTGTGGGCCGCTGTGTGATCTTAGGGGAAAAAAAATCTTCCGAACTTTTTGTGCCACTAAGAGCACACAGAATAGAATGGACAAGCAAGTGTCCTTCTTCCTTACCCATCAACAGCTCCTGCAGAGATAAGAGTATGTTCATCCTGAAGCAGCACCACAGTTACACTCTGTTGAAAATCCTTAAAAGAAAAAATAAAAAGGAATTTTGTTTGCTACCAAGGTTAGCAAAAATCTTGCTGCTTTCAAGGCTAAGTGAACATGATTGAGGGCAACTCCTCTTAGCCAGACAATCTCATTCCTCTTGGCCATAGGCCAGCCTGGATTTTGCTCTAAAACTAGCTTGAGCATCTTGGGCTCTCTCCTAACAGAATTAGCTTTGTGCTTTCTAGCAAGCTGGTCCCTACAGGCAGAACCCGGAATACCAGATGTCATTTCAGACACAACAATCCTGTCAACGCTCCCCCACCCCATCAGTGAAATTGCCAGTGAGTTCTAAGTATTTGGACAGCTGCTTAGGATTACACCTTTCAGGTCAGAGATAAGATAACTGTCTTCATCAATGATAAGACCAGTTCTTAGTCTGGTGAGGCAGTCATTTATGTAGTCAGACTTAACGGGGGAAACAAAAAAAAATAAAATAAGAAAATTGAACCTTACCTATTCCCCTCCCCCACCAAAAAAAAAAAAGAATGCTGAAAAGAATGATGGCCACTCCTTTCCTCTCTAGAAAGAGAAGTAATTTCACATAGTATTAATTTCACATAGTATTCACACAAAGATGGCTTTGATGGCACGTGGGTTGTTAGACAGATAAACAACGTCTAAATTTAGCCATATCAAGTGACCATGACACAAAAACCTGCTAAGATACTTTGGAGCATTTACCAAAAACAAGGCAAATACTTCTCACCATTCAGAAGGACTTAGGGGCATTGTTTGATGAGAAGCTCAACACAAGCCAGCGATGTGTGCTTGTGGGTCTGGTGGGAGGTGTCCCTGCCCATGGGAGGGGGGTTGGAATTAGGTGATCTTTAAGATCCCTTCCAACCCAAACCATTCTGTGATTGCTTAGGAAGTCTGCTATGTATAACATCGTTCTCAGAACAGAGGCCCCCATTTCACTTGTCCGCCAGATACCTACCACCAGGGGAGCAAGACCTCTTAGGTTCTGCCTCTTCTTCTTGAGCTTGGAAGGAGTCTGCTTATCAACCACGTTGTGTGCTCCACTGATTTGATTCACCTGCCTATAAAATCCATCTGAAAGAAATCAAAGACACTTCAGTTAGTTTCTATGTCTGTACAATTTTGCTACCACTTTAATTAAACAAGCAGGACCTGGGAATAAATCCTAAAAAGTGGCCTGAAAACTAGCCTTTAAAATCAGTAATATATCCAAAGACAGTAACTGTTAGTTACATACAATACTAATGAAAACATAGTAGGAAACAGGAGCATATACTGCAAAAAAATGCAGAGGTCAATGTAATACAGGCACTGAAGCCAGGACTGGTATGGGAAGGCTGCCCTCAGAAATCATTACCCCGCAGTCTGTTCTTCAGCAGGCCTCCTGACCTTGAATGTTCAGCTGACTTCATCCTGAGCAAAACTACACTTACAGGACCGCTTCCAGTGCTTTCTAATTTATTTCCTGATTTTCTATTTAGCCTTTTGCCCTTTAGTTCTCACTTTATGAAAATTATGCTGCTTTACTATGATAAAATTACTCCTCTCCTTTTCCCCTCACTATACCTTCCACTCCAGTCAGGTGCAGCCTCCCTTTTCCCCCTGTCACCAGGCTCAAGAACTAGGGAACCTGAGACAGACACAACAGTAAGATGTTCTGGCAGCACATGCCAGGTGTGACCTGGCAGGTAAGAAGAAGCTCTAAGAAGCAAGAAGAGAGGAGCAGAATCAGCTCAGCCTGCATTTAGGTGCACAATACATTCAGTTGCTCCTCAAACTCACAAGGTCCTCTGCTCTGCTCTTTCTGCCATCCTTCCTACTCTGGTAGGAGACTTCCCAGCTTTGTTTCATCCCTCTAGATGGCTCTGGCCAAATCCCTCTCAGCCAGCCCATTTTAGTGCTGATGTATTCTGATTATATGTACACAAGGATATGTTCTGTACCCTCTTATCTCTTTACTGAGGCATAGGGTATTATCAGGACAGTGCGTAGATCAAGCTGCAAATCTGAGACAGAGTGGAACAACATATTAGACACAGAAGAAATACTTATTCCATCCTTTTAGTGTACTAAAGCAGTCCCGTATTATCCAATAATCTTCTCCCTCTTACTGATGTGTTGCCTACATTATAATTAAATGTAATTATTGAACTAGCATTTTCAATAACTGCTTAGCACATGATACCAAGCTTTTCTGATACATATCTAAAGTTCAGTTACCTTTCTTGCTGCATCTGGTATCCCAAACCATGATGTTTCCATCTCTGCCTCCAGTACAGAAGACAGCTGAGAGAGAAATAGAGAGCTATTAGCTTCCAAATGTGATTATTTAACAACTTGAATGCCGTCTATGTGCCCCTAGCCCTAGAAATAGGAAAACTCAGGTCATTCATCTGCTGTGCTTTTTGATTAGTTTCCTTACTCTTCATGAGGTTTCCTTACTACTATTCTAGAAAAAAAAAACCAAAAAACTGATTATGTATGCAAGTAAGGACCAAGTGACTCCAATATCATGTCTTGACATCACATCTAACTTGTCCAAGATCAGAAAAGGGCAGACAGCATCAGACCACCGTGAGGTTCCAAAAAGTTGCTTTTGCTTCACTGGCTAAGTCACTGTTCATCCTGCCCATGCTATTCGTCACTGTCAGGTTCCAAAACCCCTTTTTAGCCCCATAAGTATAGATGCACTAGGGGGAAAGAAGAAGGAAAAAAATACAGCGAGGAATATCAACATTTACCTTTCTCAAATCTAGAGAAAGCAACTGACTTGAGGCTACACTGGTGACCTTTGCATATGCCAAGAAGCTCCCCAGCTCTCACATCCCACACCTTGGCTGTCTGGTCTCCTGAAGCAGTGACCTTCAGAGGAAAGAATAAAAAACTTTAGTCACTTTCTGCACGCAGTTGCCAAAGCATTAAGAATAAAGGTAGATAGAAAAAGACTTCTTACAATCCTGTGTTCTCCTGGTACCCAGGCAAGGTCAAATACAGCATTTGAGTGAGCCTGCCATTCTAACAAGAGAACAAAAGCCAAGATTAGTTCAGTGCATTGCAGCACAATGATGTTTTGCAGACAGATAAAGAACATCAGACATCGAAACCAGAAATCTCATTATTTGTCAGCAGCTTGCCCTAGGTGTAAAAAACAACACAGAACAATTCACCTATGCGTGCTTTTCGAAGAACACACTCACACAGCTGCTTTCTAAACAGGATTCAGCAGTGTATAAGAAAGGATACAAGTAATGCCCACATTTGTGTTTAATCAACTTTCAAAAAGCTTGCTTGGACTCCAGCAAATCATATACTTGTCACATCAAATGAAGATCACATTCTGTTATGGAACTTACCTCTGAAGATCACTTTGCTGGTTGTTTGAGCTTCGGTATCATACAGTCTAACAAATCCTTCTTCATTTGCAACTGCCAATATATGCTCGAAGTTCGGCGCTGAAAAGAAGTTGAAGTTTATTTGTCTATTATTTGGCTGACTCAAAAATTACTCCCCTTCCTTTGTGATGGGAGTACAAGCACCTCAAACAGGGCACACAACCCAAAGGACAACTGTAAGGATAAATAGTATTTACAGAACAATTTAGAACTTAAAAATGCAGGAATATTGCCATGCATTTCTTTCTGGATGTTCCATTCAAAAACTCTTCAAGTGGGAAATCACATGGCAAGGAGCAACTTCTATAGTAATGGATCTTTCACCAGTTATGATAGCTCCTTTCCTCCATCTTTATGGCCTGTCCTTCACAACATCCAGTACGTTCCTTGGATGTGGGTTGAAAAAGCAGCAAGCTGCCTTAGAGAAAGGCATGAGAACTAGAGTAGTACACATGGAAGATCTAAAGATCTTTGTCCTAAAGGTCTAGGAACTTCCACATGTGCCAGTGGCGTACATCCACCTCTTTGATTTCTGCTTATTATTCTCCATCCTGTTACCTCTTCTATATATTTTGAACAAAGCCTTATTTGTCAAATATTGCATCAAGAGGATGTACCTTGAAACAGACAAAGCCAAAACACAAACCCCATTGGAATAAATGCTTTTCAGTCATTTCTGTGAGGAGATGTTTCTGCTCGCACATCCAGGAGCACTGTGGAGCAGTACACATAGGATGCGGGTGCAAACACAGCTACACCCTCACAGAAACACACAGCTCCAACGCCAAGCCTTGGAGCAGCACCGCTAAGCCCGGCATGCGGCAGATCCCACAGCCGAGAGCGGCCTCCCAGGAGGGAGCTGTACCTGCAGAGAAGCGGCAGCCGAAGGGCGGGACCGGCATGCCGGTTTCCCCGTAGGAGAGGTGATCATCCTCCCGGCGGCACGCGTAGCTCTCGAGGAGATGCTGGAGGGGAAGCGCCGAGGGCTGACCTGCAAACGAGACGGGCGGCCCCGTGACCACGCGGGGCACGGAGAACGCGGAGCAGGGGAAACGAGGGGGCACAGCCCCGGGTCGGGGGGTTCAGGGTGCGGGGTCCCGGCGGTACTCACGGGGGGGCACGGCGGAGGTGGCGGCGGCGCGGCGGAGCAGCGCCCGGCACAGCATGGCCAAGACGCGCCCGAGCGCGCGGCCTCCCGCCAAGCGGCGCCGACTCCCGCCACCAAGCGCCGCGCCAAAACCGCCTCCGCCCCGCTCATTGGGCAGCGGCCGCGCGGGCGGGAACGCCCCTCCGAGCGGCGATTGGGCGGCGCGGGCTGGGAGGGCGCGCCCCGCGCGGGCCACACCCACCCGGCGCCCATTCACTACGGGGCGAGGTGGCGGGACAGGGAGGCCGGGCGCGCATGCGCGGTGCCGGCAGCGATGGCGGGCGGCGGGGGGAAGTCGTTCCTGGCCGAGGCGGGGTACGGCGAGCAGGAGCTGGACGCCAACTCCGCCCTGATGGAGCTCGACAAGGGTGGGTGCGGGGGGCAGGCGCTGCCCGGGGGGGTGGGCGCGGGGCCGCCCGTGCCGTAACCGTGGCTCTCGTGCTAGGCCTGCGCTCCGGGAAGCTGGGCGAGCAGTGCGAGGCCGTGGTGCGCTTCCCGCGGCTGTTCCAGAAGTACCCCTTCCCCATCCTCATCAACTCCGCCTTCCTCAAGCTGGCCGACGTCTTCAGGGTCGGGTAAGCGCCGGCGGTCGGGGCAGGGGGACGCGCGGTGCTGCCCTGGGCTGCGAGCTGCGGGGCCGGGCGCGCCCGGCGGCAGCAGCGGTGGCACCTCCTGGCTTCATCCCTGCAGGGCTGATCCGGGAAACCCGTCCCAAAGCCTGCAGGGCACCGGCATCCCCTTCCTTCCCCTTACCCGGAAGAGAACGGGGCCCAGGTGTAACACCAACAATGCCACGAAACCGTATCCTGTCCATATGCCATGCCCTAAGTGCCATTTCTAAAGCATGCCCTTTACCTTTCTTTATTAACCCCCAGAAGTAATAAATTTGTATCACTTTGTACTTGAAGTCTCTGAATTTGCCCTATAAAGCAGCCCGATAAAGATAAGCACGTGTCTTCTAATAGAAACAACTTCCTGAGGCTCTGTGTGCTGAAAGTTACCCAGCAGAGTGAGAAGCACCTGGAGAAGATCCTCAACGTGGATGAGTTTGTGAAGAGGGTTTTTTCAGTAATTCACAGCAATGATCCAGTGGCTCGGGCTATTACGCTTCGGTACGTATGTGTAAATGACCGTAATGCACTTCAACACTAGCTCATTATTAGCTTACTGATCTTCAATAATAAAATCTGCAGCTACCATGAATTAAGTGTAGGAGTTGTCTTCTACATTTATCGTACAGGTGAAAGCAGAGCTGATGCACCCCAGCGCATGGTTGGCCCTCTTGGCTGCCAAGGCACAGTGCTGGCTCATGTTCAGCTTGCTGTCAATCGGAACCCCCAGATCCGTTTCATAAAAGCATCTTAAAAATGCTTGGTGTTTCTAGTGCCAAAGTGTGCTCTTAGTTTTGTAAGAATTTTTGAAGCTTATCGCTTCTTTCTTTCCAAGCTAAAGGTACCAAAATATAATTGATGTTTTTATTGAATGACAAACGTGAGACAGGCCAACATTTTTACATTGCCTATCATTAATGTTTGTTTGTTTCTGTAATCAACATGAAAGGAACACACATAAAAACTGAAACTTTTGAGCAGTCCTTTCATGTTTCTGTTCAGTTTCATCTTGCGTTTCTTGACAATCACTGTGCTTCCTGATCCCACTGTGATCTGTTTGTGTAGGATGTTGGGCAGTATGGCATCAATTATTCCCGAAAGGAAGAATGCACATCACAGTATTCGTCAGAGTTTGGATTCCCATGATAATGTGGAAGTTGAAGCTGCTATATTTGCTGCTGCCAACTTTTCTGCACAATCAAAGTAAGATGTAGTTTCTTCTCCATTTTCCATATTATAAGAATGGAAACTCCATTGACACTGTTGCTCACAAAATTTATTATTTTCTCCTCTGGTGCCAGCCAAGTCATTTATAATAATTATGTGTAATAACAGTGTCGTAGGGAAATCTGAATCAAGTTTAATAGGAAGCCTTTTTTCTAAAATACTAATGAAAAGCTCATAAATACGGGAATGCAAAGCAATAGAGCAACTTTAATCAAGGATTATTTTACAGAAATTATAGTTGGCAACTATGTGTAATGCTGCTTGTCACTTTGATACATATTTAAAAGCTTCCATTTTATCATTTGATCATTCCCATGTGTAGGAGTTCCAAAACCCCTTAAGACTGGGCAGGCACTCTTGTAAAAGGTTTTGTTATTAAAATGCAAGGTTCGGTACTTCTGTTGATTTTTATTATTAATAGCAATAATAATAAATTTAATTTCACCCTTACTTTGTCATTTTCTCTACAGGGATTTTGCTGCAGGAATATGTAACAAAATCAGTGAGATGATTCAAGGTACATACAAATATTGAAAGATAAAAAGAAAAGCTCTAATTACTCTGAGAATTCTTTATCATCCATATATAAATATCAGATATCAGAACACTGTTGTCCTTATCCTCAAACAATTCCAGTTTTGGAATTAAAATAGCTGAGAAATAATCCTTTATCTGGTTCTTAAAATCCAAGTGATCATAACGCCCCTTTGGTAAAAAAAACAAAAGCTCATCTGTAGTCCGGTGAATGAGACTCTATAACACTATTGCAGTTTGCTTCAGATAAGTTAATCTGTGTATTACCTGCAATGAGGCAAGGAGCCACCTTTCCAAAGCACTCTTAAAGTGTGTGGTACTGTTATGGTTATGCTGGTAGCCAGTGGACGAGTTATTTGAAACTAATGCAGGTGTCTGCACAATCCACATCAAGTGGTGATAGTAATGCAAGGGCGTTGTGTGTCTTAGTACTGCCAAAAGACAGCACAACGGACTAACAGTCTCTGTTCCCTGTTACAGGTTTAGCCACACCTGTGGACTTGAAATTGAAGCTGATCCCTATTCTACAGCACATGCATCATGATGCTAGCCTGGCCTCCAGCTCCAGGCAGCTGCTTCAGCAGCTGGTAACATCATATCCTTCTACCAAGATGGTCATCGTTACTCTTCACACGTTTACTCTACTTGCTGCTTCTTCTTTGGTTGACATTCCCAAGCAGGTAATTCTTCCTGAATTCATTCCTTCAAATTAGAGTACAAAGCACATTTAAAACCAAACCAAAAAAATTCAGGTGCTAGATGATGCTGAAAATATATTAAAGGATATGCTGATTGCCACTACATACTGTAGAGAATCTTCCTTGGAAATCAAGTGAATTAAGAAACCAAACAGGTCATTTTTGGGGTTTGTTTGTTTTGTTTTGTTTTAATCAGAAAATGTCCATCTTTCGTGTAGAACCCATGCTTCACTTCTTACTGCTGTATGTTCTCTTGGGTAGTGGGTGTGCCTTTCACCTTCCCTGCATGCAAGGAAATGAATAATTCAACTGCATAGAGTGCATTCAAAAATGAGTTTATTGAAGGACTCTGAGGAATTTGAGTCTGTTGCTATAATTTAGGTCTATAAACCAAGTCGTGGGAAAGCAGTGATGGAAAAATACGATGCTTCTATGTTCTGTTAATGTGCTTTGTGGATATGATTTATATAGCAAGTCTGAACACAGCGACATTTGAGATTCATCTAACTAATCCTTGTAAAGTGGTCATAAAAAAATTATTGGCCTTCTTTTAATGCCATACATCTATGGAATGCTGGTGTCTGTTACTGTTAGACTAATAGCATTGATCTGTCTGAAACTGCTTCGAATTGCTGATGTCTGTATTTCAGAGATAGTACTGAATCTAAGCCAACTAAAACACCACTAGAACACTTGATGTACTTTTTTATGGCAGTAAGATGGTGTTTTAGGCTGTGTTTCCACAACACAGCAGACTATGCTGCTTATGTAAGTTGAGTAGACAGAATGGAGTTGGAGAGCAAAACCATGGTTGACATGTTCATGCAGTCTCCCATTTGCTGGTTGTTCCATCTCCAAATCTCCAAAAAATTAATGCAACAAAGGAGACTTAGTTAAGTGTCATTTCAATTAATTTGAAATAAATGCTTCATGTGCTGGTGGGTGATTGTTTTTTTTCTTTATTTTTTAATCTGTTTGGGCTTTTTGGTAGGTGCTAATACATACATAGGCCATCTGCTGGTCTCTGACTGCAGATTATGTAGACACCTGAATTAGTGTCACATTCCTGGAATACTTGCTATTAGCATAATCATCACAATGTAAAGTGTTTACTGAGGGTTTTGGAAATGTTTTATCAGTATTTCTGTAAGAGCTGAAACAGCTCTCAGGGCTTCTTGGGTATGCAGGGCAGTGAAAAACAGCGTGCATGAGCAGGGAGGCAGAGAAGAATAGCAGGAATTGGCTGGAATCTTGCCATGGAATCACAGACTGAGTAGAGGCTTTGCCATGTAGCAAGACATGTAGGGCATAGTAGTATTAGATGAATATTCCCAAAGTTCCTTCTTGAGTCCTTTTGAAAAGGCTTCCTTCCAGCAGCATCTCTTTCTCTTAATTAATGTACTTTGTTATAGGTCCAGCTTCTGTTGCAGTACTTGAAGAATGACCCCAGGAAGGCTGTGAAGAGGCTTGCAATCCAAGATTTAAAGTTGTTGGCCAATAAGACACCGCATACATGGACGAGAGAAAATATTCAGGTTTATGCATTTTTTAGCTAAAGTTTATTACAAAACTTTGCAATAAGTTATAGAACTCTTTCCAAAAGAATAATTTTGGAAGTGAAGGAAGAACGTGCCTCTCCATATCCTTAACATAGACAAAATCTGCCAGAGTAGCCAAATATTAATGAATAACTGAAGTATTATAACTGAGGAAAGGCACTTATGTGTAGTAGGCCTTTTTGCAGTAAAGAAAAATTTTGCACCTGACAAACTCGTTTAAGATAGTAGACATAGAAGCTGAATGTTTTTGTTAATGCTGTGATACTGAACGTGTATTAATGCCCTCATGTCCCAACGTCTTGTGGCTGTGGGATGTGTCAAAGCGTGTCATCCAGCAAGGTATGCTTGAACAGGTGAAAGTAACTTTGATTTTATCACTAAGAATCAATGGGTCATTTTCAGTAATGTCTTTGTGATTCTTCGTGTATGAATGAGTTCCTAAAAGGTGTTTATAGCATATCTGCATT